TGCTGCTTTTAAGTGAACAGCTGGGCACTGACTCATGCCAGGCAGGATAGCAGTTTCATGTAACAGAGTAAGAGGGGATACTTGCAAAAATGAAGCCAGGGGAGCTGGGAGAAGAAGGGGGTGATAATTTGACTTAACTGAGGTTCCCCAGGGAAATGAGCAGAGATGCAACTTTAGGCCTGAAAATCTGTGGATAGGATATGCTAATCTCATGAGATACATGCATGAATTCAAGAAGGCTCAAATTTAATCATAGATTTTTAAAAAATAAACAAAACAAAAAGGGGAAGATGCATTGCAAGATAAAACCTAGTTTGATAAAAATGGGTGTACAAGAGGGCAAAAATAGTTGTAGGCAACGTTTCGTCTCTCGTGTCCTTCAATTAGATCCCCCTTGTGTCCTCCATTATATGATATGTGGCATTTTGATCTGGCTGGGGCTATGGTTAATGTCCTTTTTTAAATGCCAAGTTGGCTTTGTGAAAGGCTGAGGTACCTTTGGCATCCCTGCACTCTGGGCCTGTTTGCTCCTCCATGATCAGATGCTGCTGCTTCTCCTGGCTGGAAGGGACTTGCAAGCCCATCAGCTTGCGACTGTTTCTTTTTAGCAAAAGCCAAAAGCCTTTTCCAGTAACCACTTCATTCTCCCTGTTCCTCACATGTTGCAAGGGTTTGGAATAGTGCTTCATAAAATGGAATCAGCAATTTAATAAGAAATTTTTGTGAACCTTCCAATGCTGATTATGGTTTTTCTAGCCTGGCTAAAAGCAGGCTCTCTTTGTGGTGTGCCTGCTGCCAAATTATGAAGCCACACATGGAAATTAAATATATAATTTTCAAACGTCAGCATAGGTCAAGGTTTTGTTTAAGAGTGGGCAAAAGGCACTGTCTGGTTTGATTACTGTTTTGTTTTAACCCTGTGATGATATGCAGCTCTCTTAAGCAATGGTGGATCACAGTGCTTTCTTTGGGCTCCGCTGATAAGAGTGTTCCTAGGTGAGGAGGAAGATTAAGGGCTTGTCTGGAGAGGGTGCTGTGAACTGCAGTGTGGGTTTACCATCAAAGCTAGAAAAAATGTAAACTGCCCTGCACAAAGGTATATCTTGCAGGTGCCAAGTAAAACATCTTCAGAGAGAACTGTGGAGACCTGCTTCTTTGCCATGTGATCTGCTCTACCTCACTTCATGCAACCTTGCCCTGTTCAGAAAGCTGAAAACTGCAAGGGAACTGAGGACATATTTGCAAAGGGTGAAAGGCACGTGAACCAGCACTGCAGAGCTGGGCAGGCATGGTAGGGTTCAAGGCTGAAAAACATAAGTAAAAACCCTCCAAAGCAGTTGTATGTTCTTCAAGATGAAGTCCTTGAGCAATCAGTTTCCCTGACTGTGGCAAACTGAGTGTTGATGCTCTAAACTCTTTGCCTGGACTCCCTTGATTGACTAGGAAGGCGGAGTTATTGCTGAAACTCAATCTATCCTGTTAATCCCTTTCCTTTGGCTGCAAGGTCAACCACCAACCTCAGCTGATAAATTCAGTCTGTAATGATAAATCCACAAATAAATATGGGCACCAAACTGTAATTTTGGGCCAAATTTTGGACTTGTACTTTAAAGGTCATTGTGTGATTCTCAATAAGTCTAGATTTCTGCTAACTTAGTGTAGGTTTATGTGTACACTTATCTGTGCAAGCATAGTAAGCAAGAACCTTAGACAAGCACTTGCTGCTATTAGGCCTTGGGGATTGGTGTGTCAGAGTCCCATTTTCCTCACCCCATCTCCAGATCCACTAAATGACCTTCAAGTTAGAGCAAATCGCATACTGGGAGAAACAAGAGCTCAAAGATTTGTCTTTGAACTGGATCCAAAGTTTCTGCTTTCTGGGAGGATGCTTGGTCTATGGGTTAGGAGTGTGGAAGCTGCTTCCACCTTTAAATAAGGTGCTCTGGGGTACATCTGCATGACTGTGGGACCCTGGGCCTCCCAGGCAGGTGCTGTGCTGGTCGGGCTTCACACCGTTGGCTCCTTGGCCAACAGGACACTAAACCAGGATGCTGAGTACCAAAAGCATTCATGAGAGCAAATTCTCTTGTGTTTGCTGTGGTTTCTGCAGGGGGCAGGCTCTTGGAGGAAGAGTTGGAGGTTTCTGGATACAGTTGCTGAAATTATTTGGTCAGCTCCTCTCCACAGGGAGCTGCATAAATTCAAGAGGAGCTCATGAAGGGCAATCCCATGGGTAACCGGGATTTGTGGTGCCTTGCAGCATCATGTAGATGTGTGCCTATTTCCTAGGCCAGCCAGGGGACGGTGTGACATAGGTGAGCACCAACTGAAATGTCACAAGAGAAAGCCGGGGCCCAGGGGAGGAGAATGAGAGCCCAGCAGTGGAAGGTTAACATGTTGACTGACACCAAGGCGTGTGGATCATGGATAGAAAACAGCACCCCTCTATACTGAGCATCACTGTGAAACAGTGACCCAGTGACTTGTCTGAAGCAGGCTTAAGAGTGCTCCAGCTTCAGTGCTCCAAGACACCAGCTGAATGCTACATGCACTCATGGACTTCACTGAAAGGATCTTCTCCTGGTTTACATTGTATTGATGCTCATTTGGTTGCGCCCCTGCCCTTACAGAGAGTAAAGCTGTTTTAGTATATAGACTGCATGGGCACTCTTAAGAACAACCACCTTTTCCCTGGTGCTTATGCCCTTCTATCTCAATATTTCAGAATTCTTTCAAACATCACCTTTCTTTCTCCTAGTGTTGGTATGTGTGTTTCAGCTTTACAGTGCCATGATAGTGAGGACTGGTTTATCAGGATAGGCTTTAGTCAAAGAGGGAAACCTTGAGGTCAGTTCTGTTAATGAATATCTATCACATCTGTTTTTCTAAAATACATGTCATTTCAAAGCACAAAAGACCTAAACACTGAAAAAATTACAGCAAAGACGTACAGGGTCTTGCACATGCTGTTTTGCTTGCTCCGCAAGACATAAGTTACATGTCTGAATATAGTCCTTTGGCAGGCCTGAGTGACTCTTGGGACAGAAGGCAATTCAGCTTAGACGCATGCGTACAGCCATTTCACCCTTACAACTTTTACCCTTCTTCCCTTCTGACACTGCGATTGAGCAATCACATCTCTATAACCCAGGAAATTCCAAACCTGAAAGTTGTTAGAACAAAATGTTAACCCTACTGCCCTGCATATCCTGTACACTCTGTTGTGCAGGTCAAACAGTGAGTGATATGCTATGCTGACAAGGAAAACAGGATTCGGGAATGCTGCATACTCTCAGTTTGGCAGAGTTAATGTTAATGTAGAAATTTAACCTTTTTGCTCATATTTGAGGGGTTTATTTCTCTGCTTCAATAAAATGCTGCTTTTCTCCTACAACAAAGATTATAAACAAATCCAAAGTTTTGAAGGGCAGTTTTTCATAAAAAGAAAAGAAAGAACAACTCATGGCAAGTTGCACTTCTATGTAACACTTAAAGATGTCAAATCCTTAAAATACTTGAACTTACTTTTAACTGGTGGTGGAATCAGCCCTTGTTATTTAACCCCTCTTTGAGCTGTAATCCAGGCTGCTTTAGTAACCCAGCTGGCCAGAGACTAAGGTGAGCTTGAAGCTGCTCCTGCATTTTGTTTACCAGGATGACATTCCTTGCTCTGACACTTTTCTCACCTGAGATTGCTTTACTGGCCACTCAGCTTCCTAAATTCCCGTGGCCAGATTTGTTTTCTACCCCTCTGTTACTGCTGCAATCAGGTAAAGTTAAGGCTTTTTTACCCTCATGACATATTTAGGATAGCAAGTGTTATTACAGCTTTCTGGTTCAATACTTATGTTCTGAGCACCAGAGCACTGCAAGCAACACGGCAGCTGTTATATATTCAAGGGTGAAATTCCAATAATAGTATGCTACATAATCTCTAGATAAATATTTGTGCTTGTGAAGGTTAAGTGACTTGGAATACTATAAACTCCAGCTTTTGGGGCAGGACACTGCAATTTAAGCTTTCTTGCAGTGACCTAACAATGACCTCTCTCCCAGTCTAGGGGCAGAGTAATTGCTGGTGGAAAAAAAAATTAAGAGTGGCTCTTAAGGCCTCTGCTGAGCAATAATTTAGTGCACCGAACACATCAGATGTTGCTTGAACCCAATTGTTCATCTTGGACTTCTCACCTCTAACATTATTGCTTAAACTTCTTTGAAAGTTCTCCTAGTGTCACTTCATTTACAAACTCTGCATGATGTTGTCTCACCATTGGTGTAAAAGGGTGACAAACAGCATATCACAAGCCGGTGTTTGGTGTTTTATTCATGTGGTTATCCTTTTTTAAGCTGACGGTACAGTGTCAAGGTTGTGATGTGTTTAACTTGCTTCAGAAATGCAAGTGAAACAATAGGCCAGATTACTACAACAGTTGTACAAGTTGGGTCCCATTAGGATCTGTAGTTCAGGGCCTCTCAGCATTCCTGGAGCAAAAATACCCCCCAAATAGGCAAAGCTGTGGGTTTAATGAACTCAGCAGAGCTGGGACTCATTCCAACTATTTAACTTAAGTGTGTTTTCAAAGAGTTGTGTAATCCCTCATTTGCTTTCTAAGCTACATTCCAGAGGGCTAACAGATACAGCCTTACTTATTTTTCTCCATCTCAGTAATGCCATTATTTCCTACCTAAAACCAGAGAACAAAACTCCATTCAGTACAGCTGATGTGTTCCTTTATACTCCTACCTGTTGCTAGTGCATTAGGAATTACCCCATTCATGCCAGATAGAAAAGCAATTAAAAAATGATGTGTCTCATTTTAATCCAAGCTGGGAGGAAGTATTTCACTTGCTGCTATGAAGCACTGGAATGATATTTAGACTCCTGGCTTCTGCTGAGAAGACAGAATGCATCCTTGGCCTTTCAGAAGCAAGCCACCCTAAATCGGGGCCCTGTTGACTTAGGGCAAGCAGAATTAAAGAAACACATCACCAAAGCCACGTCTTATAGGCCAGTTTATTTCTCTACTATTCTACCAGGGTGGGTAGCTGTTGTCAATACTTGCTATTATCTCTGGCGCAAGAGCATCATTAGCAGGTTTATTGCTTACTAATGCCATGGTGAGGATTGTTTATTTTAACTGGCAGTTGATATCTAAAAGAATGGCTTAAGGACAACAATATACATTTCAGTCTGAGGAACTCATTAATGATACTTTAATCCATAGGAGTCTTAGGTTTTATTTTCCTTTACTAGGCACTGGGAAATTTTTCTTCTTGACTTGTCCTCTCTGAACTTGCCGAGCACGAGTTCCAAATCCCAGAGACTGCATTGATTCTGTTAAGTACTTTTGGCCAGGAGAGATGCACAGCATCACTAACAGTTTAGCATCACCTCCTAAAAGCAGGGGAAAGACAAAACATATTTATTTACCTCATTATTTTCAGTAAGTTATACATTGTTACCATACTCATCTACACAACAGTGAGCACAGGTTACCATTGCTTTCATGAAGCAGAAGACTGCTCCTGGAAAGGGCTGCTGAAACAGACAGGTCTTTCATGAGTCTATATCTAACAATATGATGTTTGGTCCCAAGTATTTCACAATCTCTAATGTAGATTTTTTTTCCCCTATTAGCTTCATCAATTAATCAGCATGTATGTTATGGCTCTGGACACTAATTTAAGTTCTGTCAAATATTTGTAAATTTGGCATAATAGCAAAATGGCTTGTGTGACAATAAAACAAAATATACTTGAAGTTTGCAAACAATGATTAAACAAAGGAGAAAACAGCCATTTTCAACACTTCACCAAACAGACTTAGTTTAAATCAGGCTCAGCACCCATAAAACACAGCTCTCACTTCTCTTTTTGTCTTCCCCTTTTCACAGTAGGGACTCCAGTACTAAGTGAAATCAAAGCTTAAGCAAAAAAATTCACAGTATTTCAGAAACTCTGTAGAACCTTTACTTCATTCACTGTCAATGCCATGAACTGGAAATTAAAAGCATAAGGGCTAATATTTTCTGGCTGAAGAAAAATGGACTAATGTACTACACATATGGACACAAATCTGACATTACTGCAGGCATAACACTTGCTTTAAAATTGCTTCTGCATTAATGAGGAGCTAAAGAAGAGGAAGTGATCCCAACACAAAACTGTAGCACAGTTCCATGTCCTGTCTTCCTCCCTTGTCTTGCTGCTACAGGGCACAATGCTAAGGAATGTGCAAGCATTCCTGTAGTAATAAAGACTGAAGTTTAACTTTTAAGCTGTACCTGACATGAAACACTGGTGAAATGCAATTTTTACCCTTTAGACGATCCCATTAAGATGTTGTTCTTCAACTGAGCTTTGGAAACAACAAGGTTTAGCCTGATTCAGGAGTTCAGAACTGTCACTATGTACTCACACAGTGAGCCAGAGTCTTTGAAATAGAGGGCACATTCAAGCGAGGAGAAGATCATCTTCTAGTTTTACACAGCCAAGGAGAGGAAAAATGAGGAGAAGAAATCTATATTGTTGAACAAGAGTCAGAATAACCCCTTACCTACGGAGTCCTGAAGCAGATGTGTAAGTTTGCTGTTCCGGTATGGGATGTGAGCTCGCTGCTCTGCTATTGCTCCCAGAACGTCGGCCAGGGCGGACAGGCTGCGGTTGATGAAGGAGGTCTCTCTCAGCGCTGCCCCTGTCACTCCAGACATACCTGGTACAGTGTAGAAAAAGGCACTGGTAACACTAAGCAAATCTGCTTCAAAACTCTAATGTAGAGAAAAGGTTAAAGAAGATTCAGTGTCTACAGATGGTCCAAAGCATCTCATGTTAAAGTTGATCTCTGCAGATGTACAATGCATTTTTGGCTCCATATATATTAAGAACAAGGAACCAAGGAAGTAGATCAGACAAGACAGCACTGCTTTTGAAAACAATGGCTCCACAATGGCCCCAAAGAGAAGCCTGTTTTGTTCCACCATTTTTATGATAGCTGCCACATTTTTATCCCTTTGGAAAAAGGGAAGAGACACTGATGGCACAAGTTGCAGAGAGAAAACTGTACAAGAGCCACAAACGTGAAGTGTTTGTATTCACCAAAGCCTGTGGATTACTGTTTTATGGCATGATTTGCTGTAAAGAAATTGATGAAGGAAAATGGTGCCCTTCTACCACACACCCAGCATGGCTGTATGTGGCTGTGCTGCCCCTGAGCAACACTGTAAAGGTTTGGTCTATGGAACACATTGCACCAATTAAAAAAGGTGCTGCAAGCTCAACTCTTTGATCAGTCTGGATGAGGATGCAGTTAAGAGTAATTAATTCCTGCTGTCCTTAGCTATGCCATATGGGGAAGAGAAATTTGCTATTAGCATTTAGCATCACATTATTCAAATTCAAGCTTTCCTGAGGAGAGTGGATGAGGTGCAGATCACTTTTACCCAGAGCACAAGACCCATGTCAGGCAGAGCTGATTGCAGTGGGATGATCAGATGGGGCCAACAGCTTCCTCTACTGCCTACTCTCCTACCTCTAGACAGGTACAGGGAGTGGCTAGAAATCTTGTTTTCCGCTTAGGCCAGCATTTTCTAGCAAAGGAGACGTTCAAGAGAGAAATGTGAAGAAGTACGGTAATAGCAAAAACCCCAGCAGTCTGGACAGGGAGGGCTGTAGAACTGTGACTGTGAGAGAGGATGAGGTTAGAGTGATAGAGTCTGCAGTTGTCAGAGACAGAGTAAAACAGTTTGGAAGACCCTGCCAAAGAGTGGATAACAATCCAAGATAGGATGAATCTTAGAGTAACTTTACTGGGGTAATTATATATACAGCCATCCTCAGGCTGCTTGTGTATCAAGGAGAAGTGGACTCCTGGGATAACAGTTATACTCCTAAAGGAGGAAACGGCAAACAGGGGAGGGGGTACATGTTTAAACTGCTGTTTATATGCATTTTGTTACATGAAGTTTGATAAAGCATTTCGCTAAGTTTTCAAAGTGAAACACAGTTTGCTAAAAAGGGACCAATTGGCTTGTAAATGCTGCAAATGACCCAGGCCAGCTGTAGAGCCAACAGGGCTGGGTGCTGACGTGTGTGAGAAGCTTGAGGTACTGCTGCTCACTTAGATTTGCTCACATTTTAAAACAATTACGAGTTAACACTGCCCTCACTTTCAGCAGAGTATGTCCACTAGCACATCTGATGGCAGAGGTCAGTCTGCCATTGACTAACTCATCTAACACTGATGTGAGCACAGCTCTTCTGGCTTCACTGGAGGATCTGGCCTGCCGAGCCCCAAAGCAAGGAAATGTTTGTCCTGGTTTAACTGAGAGAACAAACACACGCCCTGTTGCTAAATTACATGTTTTCAGCATTTAGAGCAAATGAAAAAATAATGTATTATATTAGGTTTCTCTGTAGAACAAAAGTTTAACAGTAAGCAACAGCAAGAATTCTTGGCAGTAAAGTAAAAGACTCTTTCATAATACTGGTTCACTTTTCAAAACATTATTTCTGGAATGATACATTTGGCTTCATGGTTTTTCTTGGTAAGAAAGCTTGTCCTTTAGGAAATAATCAAGTTTTTGAAATTATTGTGTGCATAGAGGAGGCAAGAGTAAAATGCTTTGAAGAAACAATGAAAACAATATTATCTTTTCAACACTAATTTCCTCCAAGACTTTTTCCACAATAAAGCAGAAAAATACACACATGGTGATATCAATTATTACAGATATTTGTAATATTTAAATAATTTTTGCCCTTTAAACATTCCTGTATGAAAGACATGCTAATTTTCAGAGTAGAAAAACAGGCCTAATAAAAGCAGTCTGAACAAATAGTGTATCTATGATATGGATAACCGTCCTGGGCTTATTTCAAGCTTATACAGCCATACTTTGAGTTAAACTACACCAGTGTAAAACCGGATCAATCAGCCCTCAAATTTTGTTTATGCCAGGATCTGTGGGTTCAAACTACCTCTGTGTGAGAGCAGGGTAGCATGTATCCCTCCCTAAAGAACTAAGGCATTTATTGTAATCTAGATCCATGAGGATCCATGCCCACGAACAGACACATTCACTTACCGACACACTCGCTCCCAGCCAGGTCCACCAGCTGCAGTCTTGTTTTGACTTGCTTCATTTTCTCAGTTGCTTCAAGCTGCACTGGTGAAGAGGCTCTGGAAGAAGAGGTGGATATATTGTCTCTCATTTTTTGTGTAAAGGTGAAGGAAGCCTCTTTATTTATTCTCTGACTGGTTTGTTCATCTTCCCATAAAATACCTAGATAATGGAAAAAACAAACGAAAGCTTCTCACTGACACTGAGAATTGACATGGGAAAAAAATGGGGCATCAATAGGGGATGTACAGTATCTGCTGCTTCAGGCTATTCTAACAGAAGCAATGTACAAGCCAAAATCCATGGCACAGGCAGGCTGAGTGACTTTTTCTATCTTATTTAAAGTTTTACTCATCAAACTGATCATACCAGTTGGTAACAAGCTTTGGTGTGGATTGTGTTGTATCCAATATCCCCACTGTTGACACATCTGTGTGGAAAACAAGAAATGGGAGTCCAGTAAGGACTTTAGAGAGACCTGTTAAAAAGTTTTAGACTGATTGCAACCAAAGTGCAATTTCAGATGCTTGGGAGCAGTAGGCTCTGAAAACTGATTCTATATACTTGAAACATCATCTCCTGGTGTTCTGGCAGAAAAAAAAAAAAAAAAAAAAGTCCTTATCCTGCCTCTTCTATTTTGTCCTTTGCTGCTGTTCCCCCTAGATTTCCTTCAGCCCTCATATCCCACTGTGAGATCTCCACATGATGAGCTATTACCCTCAATAGTGTTATTCTCACTTGTTCAGGTTGGTTATCTACTAGTATTATGCCTCTGCAGAAGCATCTGGCTTTCTCTCTTTGTTGGGAAGGAAGACAAGAACTCTCTGGGAAAGCTGCTTTCACATTAGTTTAGCAGGAATATATGCAAAATGGATTTCCCAGTTTTTTGTTTTTTTTTTTTCTTAGTGTCTTGGTTTTCATCTATCTCTTTGTTCTCTCTCTGAATGAACAAAAGAATAAAAGGCACATATACTGCTACAGGTTATAGAGACAACAGACCTCCTTGGGTGCTTACAGTGTTCTAGTTGGAATAGTAGAAAATTTCCAACTGCAAAACTTGACTAAGGAGCAGACTGACTTGCATTACAGAGCTCCGTACTTCTCCAAGCATGCTGCTGCTAAACCCTGACCCAGCTCTTCACAGTGTAGGCAGAGCAGCTGGGTTGGTTTACACAGAAGAAATGGCTTCAGGCCATACAGTGTCAAACTAAGTGTTCCCACTCCTCTTCAGTTTTAGACAATGAAATTAAGAAACAGGTCTCCAGAAACAACAGATAATACTGATCAAAATGCTAAAATGCCTTAATCAAACCTGAAAAAGCACTGGCTTGTCAACCCTGGCTTTAGGTGCAGAACTCATCACAGACTTTACAACTTTTTATTTAGGGACTCAGTTATCTGACATTGAGATATTTGACAATGGCACCTGGCTTTTAAATCAGGATCCTTTCCTTTTAAACAGGCCAGGCTGTGCTGTCACACCCTGCTGCAGTGCTGCTCTCTCTGTTTCCTTACAATGCACATCTTCACCCACATGCTGTGAGTCAAAAGCCAGAGTCTGCATTCAACAGAAATTAGACATTTCTGCAAAGCTTTGCTGCCAGGCCACGATGGAGTGGCTGCAGTTAGAAGTGGCAAAGGGAACTCTGGACTAGACAAGATGGCTGCTATCCTAATGGTACAAGCACTGAGTTTAGGTAAGTACCATCAGTCTAACTGACAAGAAACTGGAGCTGGCTAGAGTTAACATCAGGAATGCTGGAGCTGCAACTTATGAAGTAACTGTGTCTTTTGGCAAGGCCCATAGGTAAAAAGGGGCACTGTTTATTCTGCTTTTCTGATACTGTTGGTTTAATTTCTGATAGCAGTCTAAAGGAAAAAATGTTAAATATTTCCCACTTTCTAAAGTCATATTGTTGTTGCAGAGTATGAAGGAGATGGACCTCAGCACTGAAAGCAGAGAGCCTAATTATAACATGAGCAAAAGAAAACAAAGTTACCCCCAAAAGCCCAAATAGAAAGTTGTTCCTCAACCAATAAAATGTTAAGTCTTGGTGTGGTAGTGGAAAGTAGAAATATAAATGTTGCCATAGTAAATAGGACAAGTATTTTGTCTTTTCATACAATGGCCTATTATTAACAGTTCATTAGATTCTGAATTTAATGGACATTCTTGCAAGGCAGAGAGTAAATAAATTTAATTCTTTCTCAACCAAGAGCATATGATGATCCCTAAAATTTATAGGTAGCTCAACCACAAACTTTGTATGACATGTAATTATTCATTCTAAGTGATTTAACTACTTTGATTATCTACCTTATCAAGATCTTTCCTATCTTATACCTTATCATATGACTTTCTGATAACACTTACTCATTAGTTGTCTCATGTAATAAAACTTCAACTCTGGAAGTCAAGGCATGTAAAGAAAAGTGCTAAGTTTTTATGAAACTGAAGGTTTGAGTAGCATTCAAACATGAAAATGATCTGTTATTTAAGAAGGAATGTAAAAGTCAGAAAAATTGAAAAGAACTGAGGAAACAGTTGGAAAAAGGAAGAAAAAGCAATATGAAAACTTCCCAGTCCACAGACTGTTTTTCTAAACACAGCTGGCTCCAGATGTATTTTACTAACATCCTACTTACCAAAGTTATCTCCAAAGACAACTGTGGTTATGTTCAATGTCACTACCAGATGAGAACGAGAGGAATGAGCATGCACCAGTGTTGGGTGAGTGACTCTCAGATGTAGACCTTTGTTGACAAGATGCAAAAATTCAGATGCATTTTCAACAGTCCTAAGAAGTAAAGAAACAGGAAGTATATTTCACTGACTTGCAGGAAAAATCACACAAGAAAGCTGACAACTTGAATGAGAACCTCAGCATTTCCATTTCTCCACTCTTCTCCTTATACTACTCTCAGTTTTGAGGTGCACAAACAGACTTTTTCAGGTGGGATAAAGATGAAAATTCAAGCCAAAAGCTGTGAAGCAGTCCTGAAACTGCTGTAGAAGTGGTCTGCCAGCCTTACAGGTCCAGAGGTACTATAGCTCAGCCATTGAAGCAACAGACATTTCTGTATCTCCACACTTTGGAAGAAAAGACACACATTTAGACATTGCTGGAATCCCTGGCCTTACAGAAGTAGATTTGTGCAGTTTATGCTGAGGAGCTAATTTTCTTAGGTACAGAATTAGGCAAAACCCTCCAAAATTTCTCTGGGACTCTGGAAATCATATTTCACATTTGGAATTAAATCCAGAATCCCTGGAAATAAGTCCAGTTTCACTGTTCAATGAGCACAACATCAGAATAAATAGATGTAATTTCTATAGACCATTTATCTCATACTATCTGTTTTCCCTTCCTGTTAAAGGAAATACTGCAAATATGATCAATCCAGGGGCAAAGACCTAGCACACACAGTGAAATACACACAGAAAATGAAATAAACTGGCTAGGTAAAGAAAAAACCCACTATCATTTTCCCTGTTTGCAATGTTAAAAGAAATGAGATAAGACTGCCTACCCTTTTCTTTCACTGTGTTGCCTTCTTCAATAATCACTGAAGGTAGAACACCTAAACAGTTGTTTTTAGTTGGGAGTATAAATTATGACTGCGTATCATAGCTTGGTCATGGAATGCTCTGTAACAGCACAACCATTAATAACTCTCATGACAGGCCACAGGCTTGGTTCCACAATGCTGCAGTCAGCAGCAGCTAGCATGTGATAAAAGGCAAGGTCTTTATGACTTAGATTTGGCTGATTTCAGTAAAAGTCACACCAGGCACAAACTTACTTTATGCTAAGAGCCATACTTGAAGAGTTTAAAGACAGAAGAACAAAACAAAACAAACTGTACTCAACTAAAACAATTACCTTGAAAATCAAAGCAAGGGCATCTGAAGCACAGAAAAGCATTTGGCCACACCATATCTATAGGCACTTAGGAGAAGCAGCCATCTAAGTGCAGTTCCCTGTGTATCCAGGGCTGCATGAGGGAAACAATCACTATATACTTGCCCTATCAATCCTGAGCCACACATGCTGGCCTCCACTGTGACACCTCTACCTCTAGGCACTCACTGGGGATGTCTCCTGCTTGTTTGACCTGGTACCAGCAGAGAACCAGTGGCTCCAGCTCCTATAGTCAGAGCCTTACACTGGGGTGACCTGACTATTGCCTCACATCCAAGGAGGCACAATCATGCCTTCCGAAGCCTTGAACTGCATTGTCCAGTGGCTAGTCAGCCAGGACTGGAAGGCCTGAGGGGCAAGCAGCCTTGGCTAGGATGCAGCACCAGGCTGTTGGCTTCTGCAAGCTGCTGCTGTGAGCTGGCAAAGAATCAGCGCTCCGAGCTGCTGCCCCATCTCTGCATTTGCCAAGGAAGACAAGGCTCAGGGTGTGCTGTCAGTGCTGGTCACCTACGGCTGGGAAGCTGCAGCTGGCTTTGAAGACAAGCAACATCCCCAGCCCAGTGTGGTGAGCTTGGCACAGTAGCTCCTCCACAGGACTGACAGAAATAATATTTTAGTATAATCTCTACGACTGCATCGTGCTCTATGTGCCGCACGTTCCAGGACCAGATTCTACAAAGAGAAGCCCTGTTGTGGTTACGTTAAAAATTTGATGCTGAAAGTTCTCCAAAGTCAACCCAGCTATAAAAGAAGAAAGAGACTGAGGCTTTCGTGATTCAATAAGATAAACGTGTTAGCAGGAAAGAGACTACTGTACTTTAGTGGATATATGGAGAAACCAATGAGACCCAGCAGGCCAATATATTCTAGATGAAATATTATCATAAATGAGGATGTGTTTTTATTCAAAGCAGCAGCTGTTTACTTTAGATTTTGGGCAGCTGGGTGGCCTCATTCAATGGTTCCTTTACTTTGTTTGGGTTTGTTTTTTCTTATTAACCTTTCTATGTAATTATTAATATAACCTGTTTATGAATTGGACTTTTTTCACTGCTTGCATTGTAACTGAGATACAAGTCCATATTTTTATTTATGGTTGCATTAGAATTTAGTATTAACTGATTGAGATAAATGGTTTTTAAGAGTTTTAGTTCAAGGCGCCAGGTTCCTTTGCCATAAATTAAAATTTACAGAAATAAACAGAGCAGCCATTTTATTAACTAGAGGGACAAATGAAACCTTATTGCAGTTTCTTTTTTTTTGTCTTTATGGCACAAGTCCCACTGCTTCTCACCTCTCTCTTTCCCAAAACCTATGAAAAGAAATGGGTCACCCACTAACTATGCAAAGCTCCCTTGGGAAGTGGGACAGGCATTTTTCAGGAATAAAATTATGCCAGGCCAGCATCTTAGTTACTGAAATACCATAATTAAAAACTACTTGGAGGTTTTGATGAAACAGGCAAAATTCAACTCCCAGCATGCCTACACTACATGTACCCGCCTTCACTTTCTAAGTCATATGGCTCCTTTCCTGTCTAGTCAAAGGAAAAAGATTAGCTCCTCCAAGAAAGATTCAGCACACACAGGTAAAGTTCTACTCTCAGCCTCTTCTGGAGTTTTTCATTCCCTTGACAGGAGAGCCTTAACTAGATACTAAAAGTTGGAGTAGAGTCACAGTTGAGGAAATACAAGAATAGAGACATGGAGAAACCCACTAGTCAGCATAATACAGACAGAAAGGGCAAAAGGATTCATCACTTTAAGCTCCAGTCACTTTTCATTTATTCCATATTCTTATGGAGCATGCAGAGTGCAATCAAGCTTGCAGAATTCCTATGGAAATTGTATTTAACCTCAAGACCAAAAAGCAGGCAAAACCCAGATACAAATGTTAATCCTTCTGAGAATATTGCACTGCTTATTATTTCATAAAAAGAAAGGAGAGTCCTATAGCTCCTACAGCGAAGAAAACTACTTGACAATTTCTGTGGGTTCCTACTTTTGTATGAGCAATTAAATTGCTAGAAAGTACAAATCAATAAATGTACAATCCTCCACTGCTTTCTTGTATTTTTATCAAGGCTTGATGGGAATAGCATTAAATCCACATAAACAAACTACTGGTCTGCTCATGTCACTAAGTCACACAGGACAAAATTATCTCCACTGATGGTGCATTTTATTTAATAGGCATGGGATGCATTTCATATCTAACTGCTAATTTCTGTTGGAAGAGTAGAGATTAGACCATGACAAGAATTATTATAGAGAGGCAAAGAAAAACATCACCTTTCCTCAGAAACATAGAAAACACTAATGCTGTTCTAAGCATTTCAATAGAGCTTTCAAAAGATGTTTCTTTTCACAAACATTATTTACTCAAGGAGCAGGACACTTCTTTATGTGACATCTCAATAATGCACATACTTACTTCTGGAATCTGTTCTCATGCTGGGTGCTTACAGAGAGATGTCCAGTTTAATTCCACTGGGTACCATTACCTCTCTGGTGCCACCAGTACTACTTATCCTAATTTATTTTTTCTAGCTAATTTTGATACTACTAGTTTAAGGCCCAAAGAAAGGCCATAAAAATGATGAAAGGCCTAGAGAGGAAGCCACATGAACAGAAGCTGAGGTGACTTGGTCTGTTCAGCCTGGAGAAGAAGAGACTGAGGTGAGACCTCACTGCAGTTACAACTTCCTTGTGAGGGGAAGCAGAGGGGCAGGAACCAGCCTCTTCTCCCTGGTGACCTGATGGAACAGCCAGAAGTTTTGTCACAGGAGGTTTACACTGGATATTAGGAAAAGGTTCTTCACCCAGAGGGTGTCCAGGTACTAGAATGGAATTCTTGGGGCTGTCCTGTACAGAGCCAGGAGTTGGACTCAATGATCTTGTGGGCCCCTTCCCACTCAAGACATTTTATGATAAACAACACAGACATTACTAAAATGAAGCATCTGAAACAGATTCCCTCTTGTTAATGAATGAAAAAGAAAGCACTGTACATTTGCTTTGTATGCCATGCTTACATAATGCCAAGAATCATTCCCATGAGTACTAGAACAAATCTTTTTAATGCTTAGTAAGTAAAAGAAGGCATTAAAGTAAGTATAACTGTAGCCTTAAATACCCTAGCACTCCCAACACTGTCAAGTTGTGTAAATAAGGATCAAACCTGGCATACACCAATGCTGGGGAGGGACATCTTAAAAGTGAATGGTGAGAAGCTTTGCTGCTTAGCTTTTAGTTTGAAGAGCCTTGATTTTCAAGACCTACCAGTTCAAATGCTGCCAACATAACAATTCCAGCTTTAACACCTCCAGTTATGAAAACAGAACATTAAGTAATATTAAGATGGGTATTTGTATTAAAAGATCACTTAAAATCTTATTCTAATTTTTTGTAACTCCAGTGCATAAAGGGAAAGCTAACACCTTTCAGCTGCTTAACTACTTGTACTTAAATTTCTATTATAATCTGTAAAATTTATAATTCAATAAGACTGAATGGAAAGTGCTTTGTGACTAGATTATCACTTCTTTTTCTACAGCTGAGAAGATACCATAGCTCCAGCAACAACAACATGTGCAGCAATCTTCAGGCATTCTGAGTGGAAGAAACTTAGCACAGGAGTATAACTCAAAGTAATTGTACAGTTATTTCTGGAACAATTTTGACATTTGCAGCCAACTGCAATCTAATAGACTGAGCTAACAGAAACATAATTGTTCTTTTGCATATAGTAAGGACTCATTGTTTAGAAGCAATCTGGTGCCTGCAATTGCAATTTTGTGACAGCTCTACATGGCGTTAACACCAGATAGTGTCTGGATGGTAGGAACAAGCCGTGTACTCACTCATGTGTCAGTAATGGCACATCACTCTTCCCTTCTCTGGTTGTGACAACATCACGCTTGATGCCAAACACTTTTCCACAGCTGTCTTTGGCCAGAAGATCAAAAATTTCATTATTATACACTTCTACAACAGAAACCTCAACCCAGTAACTTCCTGGTGGCTTTTCTGAAAGAAGCCTGGCAAATAAAAAAAGAGAAAAAAGTCCAAAAATGTTGAAGTCAAACCCCAAATGAACAATCTATAAATAGAGATCTATTCTTTAATTGTAATATAATTACTACCTGATGCAAGCATTTATTAAGTATCTGCAGCCATGGAATTGCCTCATCCATATGCTAATGTTAACTTGAAGAATCAGAATATACAGTTTATTTATACTTGAGGAAGTAAATAGAACTTAATTTTCCAAACAGCTGTGCCAGCTTATTTTTTCCACTAGCCTGCCACCTCAGGATTTTTTAATACAATTTCTCTGCTGGCAGTTATTGCACTCAGAGCTCAGAGTATAAAATCTGGCAGAGTGCAAGCAATGAACAGAGATGGGAAATTATATCTGGAAAAAGTTATCTGATCACAGCCTCAGAAAATCCAAAAATTAAGGACTTCTCTATTCAGGAGAGTATTTACAGTTAGACAGTTATTCTCATACAAAATTGGTTGGTTCTTTGATTTAGCTTATACACTTTTCCAAAACAAACATGCTTAGCTGGAAAAACTTCTAATGGCTCTCTTCTATAACATAGCAGCATATCAGGTCAATCCTGTATTATGTTCGCTGCAAAAATCTAAGAACCCTTAAAACAAGAACAGATTGTGGTTAAAAATTCTACTATCATTCTTCCTTGGGACTGGGTTATAATCTGAATCCTCTTCATGTATTCCAGTTGTCAATTTTCACAGAACTTTTTGAAACTTAAGTATCTTTTAGACTCCCATAGCTATGGTTGAAGCATTTTCAAAATTTTAATTAGAGTCTGAAAGCCAGATGGACAGATAATACACAGTAAAACTGCATAATCTTATTGTCTCAGAAAATCGGATTAAGCAGGAGAGAGACTAGAAATCTATATGAAGCCTCAAATATCAAATGGTGGTCAGAGAAGCTATAAATATTAACCATTTTGAAGCTGAAATCTGTAATGATAAATACATTGCAAACATTATTTCATCCTTTCTATGCAGTTTAAAGTGATTGCCACTGACAGCAAGCCTTTACTTTGTTTTTACCTGAACACTTCTTGGGTAGCTCGAGGAATAATTCCAAGTTCTGATTCCTCTTCTGTGGTGAATGCTAAGTTCCCCTCTAACTGTGGTCCTAACATTGTGTATGTCTTCCCACTTCCAGTTTGCCCATAAGCCATGATACACACATTGTACCTGAAAAATATAAGTAATTTATTTTTAATATAAGTAATTTATTTTACCATTACCAAATGTGTCTATTAGGTGGCAAGTCAAACTCCAAACAACTGGGGAACACAAACTTAAACAAGAAAATAAAAACACTGCCCCTGATTTCTTTCTGCAGATCTCAAAGTCTGACAGTAATTAGTGTCCATAACATCACCTAAACAGATTCTATTTTTTTAAGCAGAATTGAAGGCATGCTTTTAAGTAGAAGTTTAAAGGATCCTTAGCTTGGAATGATTGATGCTGTTAGACCTCCTTGTCTGCCCAGCTTTCAGCTTTTGTGCTACTGAGCTGCTTTTTAATCAGCTCCTGAACCAGTGCAGTTTACAGTACAGCATTTTAAAGTAAACCATTTCTGGGCTTAATTTGTGCTACAGTGCTGTGCTGCAAACCACTGCACTTGTACCCTAACAGCTGGGAGCTCTTCATCTCTCATAGCCTTTTTCAGGCAGGCTCATCAGTCACAGTCCTCAGAGAAGACTGCCCTAAGAATAGGAGGCACAAATTTTAAACCAAGGGCACCAGTTGAGAATGAGCATGCACACAAAGACTACTCTGAAACAAAGGTGGCAGGAACTGCTCTGATAAGGACTAGTAGAAAATTAAAATGTACAATATCAGTGCAGAGGAACAGGCACCTATGAAACATCATCTTCTGAAGCAGACAACTAAATATGTCTAATGAACAGAACTCTGAAAATGCCTCTTAGCTGCACTGAAAATAATAATAGAAAAAGAATTGCCCACAGCTGTGAGCACAGTTGTAGATGTCTGTGCCACAGGGATGAACTGTGATGAAATGTATGAATCCTACCTAGAAAGTGTGTTACTAACACAATCAGATCAAAGTCAACATCTTAAGCAAAATAAGTGGCTGGATACAGATGCATCCAGCCACAGTACTGCTTTGTATGAAGGACTAACACTGTGCTGTGCAGCTGAAGTTTTGCCCCTCCTTGGCTGTGCCTGCTCTGCTGCCCCTGCCAGCCACTCGATGTTGACCACAGTTCTGTGCCAGCCAAAGCCTTGGCAGACGTCCATTTATGCTGACAGGACTGCTCTCTCCCTGGACTATCTTGTTTGTTCAGAGATACGCCATTAGCAGAAACCTCATACACAGAAAGTGCTCCACAGTTTTAAGAAACATCTGCTCTACTAGAGTTGCAAGAATGGGCTTGCTCCTTTTCTGCCAGGGAATAAAATTTCACTGCCTAAGATACCTCCTCTGTGAGCAGACCTGAAGCAGCTGCTTCTGATTATCTGATGCTTTTCCTCGTATCAAAAATGTAGTTTCAAGCACATGCCAGCGTATTTCAATGAACACCCCTCATCTAATTGCTTTAAATGTATGGTTTCAAGTAATGAAATACATGCATATTAAACATGCCTAGAAGCAATTACTTCAGGAGGATTATTTTGGAAGCTTTCACTTGTTAGAAAGAAATGTGGGCTGATAAGTCACACGGAAAATACCTGGGTACCCTTTCTGGGAATGTGAAGCCAAAGTTGCAGTCAATGAATCTATAGTAAGGCCCCTCCAGATTTTAGCATGCACTGCAGAGTATAAAATAGGAGTCTAGTCATAGATTTGATGAAGTAAAGGAGATGACATAACAGTAACTGAAAACAAAGAGCATTACAGTAAAATTAAATGTGATAGCAATCAGGGCTGTAAATCTGAAATTAGAGATTTCCTGAAGTATTCACTGCTGACATATCTCAGTAGAAAAGCTCACACTAATTTTGGTAGTTTTTAGCTAAATTAACCATGAGTAATTTTCACAGTTCCACCCCTCATACACACTCCCTGGCTAGCCTGTACCTTATTGAGACTTCTAGCCCTATTTCAAAATTAAACAGATCTTTGGAACCAAAAAGGGAGCCAGATGTTTTTCCTTAGGAAAAACAGAATTAGTCTTATTAGAAGTCTCTCCTAAAGGACTTTCCTACAGTTCAGCTATTTAATTTTTCCTGAACTGCTTCTAGTTCTAAGACAGCAAGCATCACGGACAAAATAGTTCTGACAAGATACAGATTATATGATTAGAAGTTAATTGGGCAGAGGATTGTAACATTGAAGATAGAGGTGCAAGTCAGGTATCAATCAGTGGTAACTTCTCTGCCAAAGTCAAAACAGTGTTTCAGTCAGCCCTAATGAGGCCAAACTGGCCAAAGCAGTATCTAATCAGGAGATAATGAATTGTTGTGGGATTCAACAATAGGACAAGAAGCAGATTACTTTATATTTATCTGTATAATAATAATTATTTATTATAGTTTACATCATTGGAGATTTAGCTCCTGCATAAAGCTTTCAAATACAGAAGTCTTAAGATTTTTTGTCTATGATTCAGCTATGTGCCCTGATATTTTTCCTTCTCCACTTTATTATTATATATAACTGTTATATTATTTTTTAGAAAAATTCTTATTGTCAAACTAAAATACAATAGTTTTGTAGAACTTCTCTCCTGAAAAGAGTGTGGGTGTTCACCCTAGCAAAGTTACGCCTAGTAGAGAACACTGTTAAAGGCAATTAAAGGGGGAGAAATGAATTCTTTAAAATAAACTAACAAGTTGCATTCTTCAATGCTGTAAAGAAAAGAAAAGTTATCTTACTCCCTTGTTGGTCCTGTATGGCTCACAGTAAACTTTGAAGCCTGCTATACTTTGTCTGGTTTACATATGGAATAATCTTTTCTTCCTGTGTATTTGTACTGAAAAATGAAACAATCCATTAAGAAAGAAAAACACAGAAAAAATAAGGAAAAGGAGAGAACACTCCCTTCTACTCGAGCTAGAAGTTGTTACAGACCACTTTGGAACCCAGACTAAAACAATCAGGAGCGGCAAAAAGGTTCAAGGTTCAGACTAAGTATGTCTGTTTCACATTTACAGTGGGAAGGCTGCTGTGCTCATATGCACAGACTCGCCTTTTCTGAGAATCTGCTTCTGTTTAAACAGCACTTCTGAAAGAACATGACAGGTCTTTTGTTTTCAATAACAGAACATTTCCTAACTGAATACAAAAATCTTAGCCTTTAGGAAAGGATTCTCCCCATGTAAAACTTAGTGAGTGGGAAGTACAGCAGATAAACGTACAGATCAGATACATCTGAAGACACTTAAGGGACCAATAATGCAACCAATGCAATTTTGCCTTTTGAACCAAGGCAAAATTATTATAATTGCAAAAGGAAAAGTAGGGAGAGAAAACAGTAGTTTTAAGATGCCTTTAAACTCCTGCAACATAGTGGTCCCTAGGTTGGTCAGCTAAAGAAACTGTGGTTACTCATCACTGGTAAAGAATAATAATGAAATCTATGACTTCCCTCAGCCACGGAGCCCTTGGGGGCCTCTCTGTGGCATATGGAATTCCCAATATTCACAGTATCTTTAGATACCTCTTCTAGGATGCTTTTAGCAACAGGAACCTTGGAAACTTCCATGTGCAGGCTGCTGGGAACAAGTATTACCACTGTTCAATTCTGCCACTGTGAATGGAAAGGCATTGTCTTTTCCTCTACAGGGAGTGAAACATCCATGAGAGCTCTACCATATAGTTAAGTGGTATTGGAACAGGGATGAAAAAGGAGCAGAAAGTTATGTGCAAAACTCAGTTCAAGCCTCAAGGATTATAACAAAATGCACATCAAAGCCTCTTTGCAAGAGTAGCTTAAGTTGGCTCAGTACTTCTGAAAAATCACACTTTATGAGCTTCAGTAGCTAGAAGTAATTTCATGTATTTCATGTTAGTGCTTGTTACTGATCAGTTTTTTATTCAAACCAGAATTCTGTTTTACCCCAGTGCCTGAAGGAGCAGTAGAATGACTGAGAATGCTCAGTTCTGGTTCAACCAAGAATCGATTCCACCACCTCCTATGGTCCTGGCAGGCCTTTTGCATTGAACACAACGTTCACAGTGAACACGCTGTTGGAAAAGATGTATAATACAATATCTACAACTGGAAAAGTTATAAAACATAACCTAAAGAATACAAAAAAAAAAAAAAAGACAACATCTTCCACTAGAAGCATCAATTTGACAGAAGCAGATCAGAAGAAAAAACGGGGATTTTTTTATTTTTACAAATTTATCTGCTCCGTTAAATGTTGTAAATGATATTTTCACTGTTTATACAGAGAAACAGCATTCATGTAGTACTGAGTAGAAAGAAAACAGGAAAATGGAACTGCAAAGCCATAAAACTTGACTAGATCACTATTGTTAAGTATTTTCATTAATAGATAGATTTCAGTAGATTATTGTGCTTTAGCTTTCTTACTGCAACCTTTTAACTTACCCATCCAGAAGAGATGTTAGCAAAGGGGCCACATCTGCAAATATTGCATCTTGAGACTCCAAATCATTGTAAACTCTGAGGAACAAAGTGCAACAATTAACCAAAGAAAAAATATAAATGTTGTCACAAGAACACAGACCATAGAAACTGTAGGCCAGTGACATACAATTTGGGATCTGTTGACATTTCTGTGTCACAGAACTGAAAATTTGAACTCCAAAGTTCTCATTCACATTTTGGGAGCAGCTGTTGTGTGTTTTGGGGAGAACAACATATGGGTGTACCCTTGTGGATTGAGCTCATCCTAAACCTCCTGCCTGCCCCTCTGGAACACAGAGTCTTTTTTTTAGGCTGTACTGGATCCCTGTAACTTTTTCACACCTACTAGAATGTGAAATAGCCCTACTGCTTGAGATTCCTATATATCACTTTTTGGAAGACAGTGGTCAGGTTGTATTGCTCTTTAGATGTGGGTAAAGTTTGGTAAGGGAGCAGGGATGGGGGAAGAGGTACAGAGACTGCAAACTTGCTGAGGATTTGTCTCAGAAATCAGAATGCTCCTGAAGGTACATGTTTAAGGATGCACTATCTTTGTGGAGAATATCAGCCTAAGGTATTTCCACCCCCAGCCTTAAGAATTACCTACTCTGAAATCAACACTTCTCACTCAAGGTAAGACTTTCTTTTACATAGTGGAATGAAGACCTTCTAAGTAGAATGGAAGATAATTAAATTGCATGAGCTATTCTACCTTTTAGAAAAGAGCAATGACATTTCAATACTTGGGCCAATACAATGATGTCTGAAACAACTCCGTATGTTTTTTGAATGCAAGGAGAAAAAAAACCCCAACAGTTATCTTCAAAGAAATTTTTCCTCCAACCCTTTCAGGTTTGAACAACACAAAATCAAGACCTGAAAACAGGAAGTCATCAGAGAGGAAATTTTGATAATAAAACATGGATATCATTAATTTTTTCTGTAGCACACCAAAAATGTATCCTCCCCAAGATTACAGCCTGCAGCACCCATTGTTTACACAAGACGAACAAAATCTGAAACATGAATGTCATTACTCACAGTTAAATATTTGAGGTATCAATGTTTATCTTTTGAAAAAGTTTCCTTTCCTGGTATCTTTCTGTGATGATTTTTTTGTCTAGCTCTGTTTTCCAGTAAGTGATATATGCTCTTTATAGCTCACAGCAAAATGGCTAATTAGAAACAGGCATTTTGGTAGCAGCAAACATTACAAAGTGTAGTCACTTCTCTGTGTATACAGTACACCAGTACACTTCACTTAACAGTATCCCACAGATTGTACAGGATAGTACAAGGTTAACTGAATAAAAACAAAGTGTGCTCTTCAGCATTTACTCAAGCATCTTTCTATATCTGACCATGATCTGTCTGGTACGGTCTATAGACTGCACAAATAGAGTTTTTGTATTCATGCTCTCCATAAATAAGATTATACAGAGGGATCACTGATAAACAGATACAGGATTGGAGCCAAGGCACTGAACTCAGCATTTTTCCTGACAACAGCTAGAAGAAGGAGCAAGAGACAATATGGTGGCCAGCAACACAATAATTCATCTCTGTGCTTCATCCTAATCCTTAAAAGCTGTATACTGGCCTCAAAAACTGAAATATGAGTTGAATTTCTGTCTCAAAAAAAAAAAAAAACTATTAGAATTAGCATTCAGTTTCTTTCTGCATCTTGCAAAATTCTTGGCCCAGAGCAACATCCTGTGGCAACATGTTCCACAGACTAATTGTAAGCTGCATGAAAATGTACTCTCTTTAATCAGGAAAGGAGCTCTTGTCTGGCTTGATAGACAAATACTGCTTGTATTGCCATTCCACTGATGTGCCATCATAATGCACTGAGAAACCAACAAATATGCACAAATATGTGGCACAGTTCGAACTGGGAGTCAGAGACTGAATACGCTGTCCCTGCTTTGCATGCACATGAGCATATGCTTCAGTAAACTTTGCGCATCCAATCTGCAAGGTCAATATAAAAGAGCAAAAGCACTTCCAAACACTTTTGTCTGCTTCATCTATCATCTGCAACTGATGAAATATTCATTAGCACCCAGTTCTCCATCTTAACCAACTAGGTCTCTAACTCAGTATGTGTTGAAATATTTTTTTCTTTGCACATCAAAACATCTCATGTTGTAAATTAAAAAAAAAAAAAAGAAAAAAAGAGAAAATACTAAGACAAGATTAAAACATTCACAATTGATGATTTTTGTTGCCTCAGAAAGTAAATACATTGCTACTGGCCACAGCCCAGGCTAGAATCAGTCAGTCATTTGCACAGCAAAGTAGAATCACAGAATCAATTAGCTTGGAAAAGACGTCCAAGGCCATGAAGTCCAGCCTTTGACTGAACACCACCTTGCCAACTAACCCATATTAGTAGGTGTTACATCCAGTTGTTCCTTGAACACTTCCAGGGATGGTGACTCCACCAGCCCCCTGGGCAGCCTGTTCCAGAGCTGAAGAAACCTTTCTGTGAAGAACATCTTCTTGACGCCCTACCTGAGCACAGGCTGGACACACACGTGAGCCCTAGTACAGCTTTAGGCCATTTCTTCCAAGTTCAGCCACAGCTGGGGTCAGTACAGCTATGTCAGGGTCAGGCTCCAGTCTCAGTAGCTGATCCGAGGAAACGCACGTGATTCCATGCTACAGTAACTACTCAAATATTTACTTGACTTCCTAAAGGGGTTTTGCTGCCACGACTTAGCTGCTGTGGTTCAAATGCTATCCATACTAAAATAAAGTGGTTTAAAGTAGCCTTGAACTAGTTTATGCTACACTGTAACCACAGCCTTGGCTGAAGTATGGACACCCACTTCATTAGCTATCTGAAACCATGAAAGATGCTGCAAATCCAAAGAATCTCTTTCTAAAACCCCATGTATTTTTACCCAAATGATAGATTTGTCCCTGTGCACTGACTAATGTGAGTTTCACATTGAAAATTCTGAGCTGCCTTTTTATTTTGCTAACTGATTTGCCAATAAAATTATTAAAGCATAACATGTTGAAAGCTGGAATTTTCTTCCTGAGCTGAAATCAAATATTTTGACATTTATTAGTTCCATAAAACATTGCTAGAAAAATAAACATTTTAGAGTTCATAAGAAACATATGCTTTTCTGTTTATAAAAAAATAGCTGTACTGGGACACTAAAAAAACATTCCTGGAGAACTGCATTCTTTGGGGGATTTACATTTTTTTTAACCCTTTTCCTGATTACCAGGATCTACACCACATTTCCAGAATCACAGCACCTCTGGAGTAGTGTGTCAATACCATTAACTGCGATGCTTTACAAAGTTGAATTCCAGCATTATTCTGTATTTACTTCAACTGGTATGGCTGGGTTAGGTACAGCTGAAGAGTGAAAGGAATTACTTTGAATAGCTTAGCAACATGTGAGGGGGCCATGTACCCTAAGATAGCTTATATGCCTTGAATCAAAAAAGCCTGTAACCTGTGGGATCAGTAAAGCTTCCCCAGGATCTGCATTATCTCAGGATTTTTCAGGTGGCCTGTATGACAGCAGTCCCCATTCTCCTGTGAGTAGTAAACTGCAGCACTTCACAAGAACACCTTGAGGAAAGGGTCAATGACTAAGAATGTTTAGCAAACCTACAGGAATTTCAGCTGAACAGGCTCAGACATTAAGTTTAAACCAGGACAGATAATTCATGCTGGGTACATCTGACTTTAAATCAAGTTTTGCCTTCAAGCAAGGAAACATGAAATTGTCCTCCTGTTTCCAGAGGGTTTTGAATCATTTTTCAGGGTGGACAGCCTCCTCAGTAATTGCAATATACAGATTCAGAGTTTGCATTAGAAAGAGGCATTGGGGTAAAATTTTGTATTTCTTCATTTACAGAGTTCTCATTGTATTATTTAACTCTTCACTCCTGTTTTCAGAGGTCTAAGTCAGCACTATTTCGAGAGAACAGAAGGCACCCTTCAGCCTGACTCCCACCAGTATTCTGTCTCACTGACAAGAGATTGGCAGTGACTCTGGTGTCCCATTAAAGCCCTTCCCCTTATCTCATTCATCTGTGTGGATTTTTGAGCATCTACTATGGAAAGTAGTCTCACTGTAGCCTTTCCCTTGGGGAGCACCGATTCCCATGCCACTGCTCCACCTTGCTGCCTCTGGTCAGGCTGTTTGAACATCAGCTCATACAAGTGCTCAGTCCAGTTTCTGCCAAAGTTATGCTCTATGTCTAAGGCTGAAATCTTGCAATCTGCCTCAGTTCAAGGAACCATTGAATTGTTTGGGTTTTAAGGAGCCTTTAAATGTTACCTAGTCCAACCCCCTGCAATAAGCAGGGAAATCAACTAGGTCAGGTTGCCCATATCACCTGACCTCAGATGTTTCCAGGAATATGATATCTAGTCCCTCTCTGAGAAACCTATTCCAGTGTTTCACCACATTCATTGTGAAAATATTCTTTCTTATATATAGTCTCAGTTAAACTTCTTTTAGTTTAAAACTATTAGTCCTGTTCCTATTGCCTACTAAAAAGTTTGGCCCTATTTTCTTATGAGCTCCTTTTAAGTACTGGAAGGCAAACACAGCTTCCTTACCTTTGAAACATTCTGCTACATTGCAACGTGTTGCAAGGATCAGGACAGCTACTCATGTTGTGAAAGAGTCAAGTAAGTCTCATACAGGTTTCAAACTTGGCCGTATCAGTAGTCTTTACTGAGAGGGAAGACTGTTAGCTATTCCCTGAAATGCATTATCCTGTCCTGGGAAAAACATAATCATCACACCAAAAAAAAAAAAAACAAAAAAAAAAACACCCAAGGATTTTCATCCTGCCTGCCCTACTCAAAAATCCTAACCAAAAAGGATATCCTCTATCTAATGTCTACTAAAAATATTAGTCTTCACTACACAACTCTTCCAGCAATTCAGATTTCCAGATTGCTACACAGGACTACCCACCTCTCAAACTGAAAAGTCTTGTTTACTGAGGCATGACCAGGTCGGCTACACTTGACAAGGATGGTTTCCTAAGAGAAAAAAGTAAATTATCTATAGTTAATATCACAGGCACATACACAGAACCAAATATCCATCAATCTTAAATGTATCAGGTCACAGCTTTAAGGACCAGGAAGTCCAAAGTCTTTCTCCAGCTATCACCAATTCATGAGGCTTTAGAGCATGTACAATGCAGTGAACTTGCAAAATCATAAGAAAGACTCTCAAAACCCATTCAGATTATTAAATAACAATCAAAACAAAACATGTACTTAAGTTCAAGAGAAAGATCCAAACCCTTACCTGAACTTTCTATTGGACCTAGAAAGTCACAGGCAAGTAAACGCAAGTTCCCCAACTGCCACTACAGGCACAAAAATATTGCAAAAAAGAGTTCTTTTTTTTTTTTTTTTATTGTTGGGCACATTTTCACAGTGCCTTTTCAGATTGATTTCATAGATAGCTCTTTCTAGAATTAAGCAGAAGATGCACATTTTATTAAATAACATACTAGTCCCCAACTAAGAGAAAGAGCTGCACTACAACAATCTGTAGAATTCCATGAGGTTTTAATGGAATCCACTTTCCTGATGAATTATACAGTAATTTTGTAAGTCTGACAAACATGTAAGCAGCTATTTAAACTATTACCAAAGTACAATCACAGCAGTTTGACGTAGCTTAGCTAGCAAATTCTGTGCTCTTCTGCTCTTCATGGCAAATGTTGCTTAATTGCTGAGAAAAGCAAAGAAAAAGATGTGGGGGCTTACAACAAATTGGGTGGAAGCTCTCCAGCACACAAAATACTACATCCAATTCAAAGACATTTTCTAGCTTACTAACCTGTGGTTACATTACTGCATTTGATAGGAGTGCTGAAATTCCTAATGTGCTTCAGACAAGTGGGTTGGAGTGCGGAACTAGTGGCCTTCAAATAAGTATTGCCACAGACTGAAGTTATAAAGAGCCGAGCAAATAACAATCACATAATTGAGTTTATGAGTATTTCTACCTCTTTGGAGAGGAGAAATGTATAATTATCAAACTAATGATGACAAAGCAATTACTCCACAGAATGAGCTCTGTTACCCAAACCAGTAGTGGCAAATTTAGCTGAGTACAGATGTCAGTAGAACACTGCTACTAAATGGCCTGACACAAAAATTCTAATAGGATCAGTAACAAACAGGCTCCAGGAAGGAAAAAGGAAAAAACTGAAAAAATATGGAATGATGGAATAAATTTCTGATTCAGATATTTAATTTACTTGCAGACAAGCTTTCTCTAAGGTGAGAAATAAGAGAAAAAAACTCCTATTTGCCTAACATAGAAACAAAAGCGTTTACTGTTAACAGGCAGAAGTTTCATATGAGCATTTGTAACCACCACGTCCAATCATGCTTTGAATGTCTCTAAAGATGGAGATCCATATCCTCTCTGGGCAACCTGTGCCAATGTTTGACTACCCTCACAGCTTCTCACAGCTGAGGGTTTGACTACCCTCAGCTTCTTCTCAAATTCTTTGGCTAAATTTCCTGTATTTTAGATTGCACTCATTCCCCCTTGGGCTGGCACCACCAGAAAGAGTCTGTGCATCCAGTACCTCCTCATCTGCTCATTTTCTCAGGTATTGACAATACCAGCACTGTTCAGTGTCCTAATCTGTGTGGAGTGGTTCAACCTGATATGTGGTGTGTACTTACTCTCCACAGTTATTGCACAACAAGCTTCAGAAGAAAGGCTCAGACAGTTGTTAATATTATGTTGAGGAGATGAGCATACACAGGACAGCAAAAAGGAAACTTCAAAAACCTTAAGTAACTCAAAACCTGAAATGCAATACTCTTCTGGTACACCTAGTAAAATCTTAAGTCCTTTTTAGACTTAAAATCAGAATCAAGTTTCTCCAGTCAAGATGAACAACATGTTAGAAAAGACCATTCGTCTTAAGAATTATAGGAATTTCCAAACAAACAAACAAAAAAACCCACTCAGAGACTAAATGGAAGAGATGTAACTCCTTGAATCTGCTTTCTAACACAATCATGGCAAATAACTGGCTGGTTATACTACACACAAAGTATTTTCAGGAAAAAAATTCTGGAGAGACAGCCATGATTTAGAAACTAATAAACTCAGCATCTTTACAACACAGAGTCTTCCTTTACCTTGTTCTAAAATTTCCTTTAAATCATTATCTGGGAAATGGTTAACTTGTTTCCAGAAATACAATCTTTGACTGTGTTGCAACTAAAAGCTCAATACAAGTCAAGTCCCATATTTTAATCTGAAAATTGCACATTTATCCTAGCCACTAGCATATCATCTTCAGTTGTTAACAGCAGAGTAAACAGGCAATAAACATTATTTTCCTTTACTTTCATAAGTTTAGTCTAAATTGACTGCTTTTTGTAAGAAGGATTCTTGCAACAATGTTTTTTTTCTTAAAGAAAGATAAATTCACAGTAGGAAGCTAACAGGCTTCAGGTGTTTCATGAAAACTGGAAAGTATTTTAACTAAATAAATGTCCAGGCAAACCAATAAAACATTTGAATTCTATGTTGTGTTTTCTAAAACCAGGAAGTCAGCATTTTGCAAATTTCATTTCTCAATCCTGTGCTTATATTAATATTTCTGAAATATTTAATAAGATTTTCATAGTGAAGGTCACTCTTGCATACAAACTAAAACTCAAATTTGCATAAGTAAGCCAACACTGCCTTGCCTGTAAACATATCAATACTGTAATACATCAGATTTCTATATGAAATAATCCAGAATCTAAATATGCCTAATTTCATCCTTATGCAATAAAATTTAACCAGTCAGAAATGGCTGCAGTATTTTATAGTACAATAAATGTGTCAGGATACCTAGAATACTAGGTCTACCATTACAGATCCCTGTTTTTTATCTCCTGATATATTTACTTTCTTCATCTCTTTATGAGCTCCATTAGTTACCTAATGGCACATATATAGATATAGATACATATATATATATAATTATCCATATTATGCAAGTAAGATCTGCCTAATGAAACTATAATTTGGGAGATTTAAATGCATAGCATAGCATACCATAGGTCACTTCAGCAATATTTTAAGTACTACACTATAAAAGAGAATTTGGCTCATCACCATGTAAGTAACAGTGAGCAGTCAACTAAGAACTATAGCAGCTATGAAAATTAAAGCCCAAGTTAATACTTTGACCTTAGCTCACACTCCTGTGCCTTTTAAAATTTTATATCTTCGTAACAGCCTCAGTTAATGCTGGAATGTCATTTGGATTTGCAACCTCAATGACCATTCCTCCTCCGATGGATCTAAGCCAGGATACTTTAACATGCTTGACTGCAGCACCACATAGGCTGCTGTGGTTCACAAGATATCAGATTTCTGTCCTAATGCATTAGCTGTGTTGCAATAGCAAAATCTGAAAAAAGCCTGACATAATTTTAGAAATAGCTACAGCACATACAGGTGGCTCAAAGCGACTGACAGCAGGAAGTCAGCGGCAGTTTGACTGTTGCAAACATTCAACCTCTGGTTAAAGGATGGCTGCCCCAGCAGAAGCTCCAAGCTATTACCATGACAGAGAGTCAGGATAAAAATAGCACAAATCACCTGCTATTGCACCCACAGGTAATCAAATCTGAGCACCACCTGCCCTTGTTGTTTTGTTTTTTTTTTAAACTCATCATTCTCATGCCCCTTTTGTTTCTTCTTCTAGTGCTGTTGAATTCCACCATCAAATACTCACATCATCAGCTGCATATGCCACTTTTTCTGAAAAGCTTCTCTGCCTGTAAGGGAAGAAAAAGCATCAATAGGAAAAGAAGAGGTACCTTTCAAACGATAAGTGCTCCATTTAGCTGAGAAAAAACAGTGTTTAAAGTGCCTGTAAACTACACACTGTCTGAAGAGTACCTTTGCCAGTATTATTGTACCTCATGTACATACTAACAACACAGTTAATTTTGAATAAAGAACAAATTGAAGTGCAATCAAGCAAAATAATTTGCTTTAGAACAGACATTTAGAACAAACCAAATTAAGATAAATGCACATGCAAACTCTTCTATTATTTTGCGATTATTGCATGAGCTTGTAAGAAGAGGTTTTCATTTTAGAAAATTAAAGTGAAAAACACCCTCTTTTCAGGTATTTGTCTCTGATCTTGAATCAACGATTAGTCCAAACACTGATTGGGATTACTGAGGTGTATAAATCTATTTAGGTTTGTAAGTTTTTGGAGAATCAGTCCATAGTTTTACAGATAAATTTTACTTAAATTACTTTTTGATACATTAAGAAAAGTTACCCTTGACAATTGTTCATTTGGCCCAGTCCATCCCATTTTACACTGTGAGCCAGCACCTGATTGCACCATTTCATACTGCAGCAAAAAAAGTGAGTGGGTTCCTTCCCAGGTGTACAAAGCACAGGTTAATTCAAGTTTCAACTCCAGGCTTCTTGAAATATCTTGTCTGTTTTAATTAAAACAATATCAAAAATAACAATCTTTTGTTTTTAAGATTTGCCAAAAATGAATAAACTTTAAAACACTGAATGTACTCTTTTAGAATTACCAAGCAGTAAAAGTAACAGAAAACCCCAAATCAGTTATTTACTGATAAAGCAAACGATAACGTTACTGGTTTCTGGCCACCCACCTAGTTTTCCCCTTCTTTCTTTCCTTCTTTGTATACACTTCAATCCCTACTTTCTTTCATGTTAGTCATCTATGGAGAATTCAGCCTGTTAAGCAGATACTTGCATCTAATCCCTTTTTTCCTTTTGGATCTTGGAATGTTTTGACACATCAGTTACAGTAAACGTTTTATAAATTAGGGAAGCAGAGCCAAATTAGACTGAAATAGAATTACCAATGTTTGTGGTGACAGCCAGTGTATTCTATAGCACTACAAAACAATTGTAATGCTGAGTGTGTGTCTCTACCCACGACATTTGGCAGCTCCCACATTACTGCATCCCAGAATTTGTATAGGATAGTGAATACATGCTAAACTGATTGCAGCTGTGCTACTTCTGCCAAGCCAAGGATAATCCTGGCTTGGCAGAACAACTATGGCTTTCTATTGAGATGGACACATTTAGGCAGGGGGATGAGATTGGCTAGAGCAAATCTAGCAGGAGAAAGAAAACAACAATTAGTGTTTATGATACCATCATTGTCTCCCCACACATATAAAACCAGAAAAATCAAGGACACAGTTGTTCTCATATAAACATACCTATTGTTTTCTCTGTATTTGAATTATGAGTCAGATAGGCTCTAACACAATCAAAACAATTCACCTGTCTTGTGAATGTCCAGCAGCATCATCAAAAGGTAGCAACGGTCGAATCCTGCAGTGGACTCTGATATTTCCTCTCAGTTCCTGCGATAAGAATATTAGGCTGTATTTAACACAAGTTACTGGAGAGGATAAATACACTGAAATTTGTGAAACAGACATGAACATGTTTAAGAAAGCCAGTGTTTACCACATCATAGCCCTAGATTCTGTGGGGAAAAAAATAGTCAGTATAATTTGTCTCAGTAAGGTAGGACAAAGTATTTGAGGAATTATGAGCTCTTCAGAGCACTGGAATTGTATAGCCCTCTCTAGGTCATATGGACAAAAAAAAACCAACCCTCTTAGCCATTTTCCCCTTCCTTTTTCTCCTTCTTCCTTACACGAGCTTTTTCAGACACGTATTAACTCAACAGACAACATTACACACTCCATTTCTCTTCCACCGGTCCTGAGGAAGATGTGGAATATAAAATATGTTGCATATTTTCCTCTCCACTGTGTTCCTATATGATTAAAAAGCCAGTAGCTGATTTTTCACTGTAGGCCAGGTTTAGACCTGTTTATCTCTTCCATTTTGTTGGTGATCAGTTCTTCTCATTTTCTATGACTGAACACGGCTTGCCTGTGAGGGCTATTGACCACTGGTATTAATGCCCCATTGCTCTGGGTTTTTTGTGTTTCTAAAAAATCAGGTTCTGATTCAGGAAACCCAAAACTAGTCACTTGTGGGGAGGGGAGGAAGAATAAATTTAAAGTACAAACAGGAAAAAATTAATCCCAAATGAACCATCACTAATGGCTGAGCAGGATACAGCTTGAGATATCTGAAAAAATAAAAGATTACTACTTTGCAATATCAAGTTAATAATTTTAAGAATTTCAAAACTATTTCAGAAGCTGCAAATTTAGAGAAGAGGATGAAGAAACTCAACTTTTGTCCACTGTGCATGATACTCCTAAGGGAAATAGGTCACATGAGAGCATTTGGAAGATTATGTGTAAAAAGAAAGGAGTGGGGTTTATTATAAGACAAATGTGCCTCAGCAAATAAACACATCATATATAGACATCTGAGGCAAGTGATATATCCATGTGAAGCATATTCTTTACTTATATTGGTGAGGAAATTACGGGAATAATTTCAACAAAATAAGCCAATGCTCTATTATTAAACATACTTACAATTAAGCTGTTATGTAGAGCCTTCCTCTTCTGCTTTTCTTTCTCATATCTCTCTGTCACCTCTTGTAGAGACTGCTCAAGATCAAAAGCTTTTATCTGAAACACTAGAAGAAAGCAGTTTCAGAGATATAAACTCCATGACTTTACAAAAGGAATGGAATTGTTCAGTAGCACCTCATGAAATATAAGCACAAACACTCTCAATTTCTACCAAATTTCAATTAGGAGGCTTAGTTTCTGATTTACTAGACATTTGTGAAAAATCCCATCATAGTTCTTGCTATGTGAAGCTACAAATTATTACCACAACTATACATGTGAAGTCTTGAAAAGCAATCAATAATGTAAGATATTTAAAAGCAGCTCAGATGTGTCAGTTTAGTCAGAGTGATGTTACCTGCCAGCAAAGCCTGAAACCTACATTTGAAGCAGCCTGCTGCTAGATGGGGCTGTCACTTGTAAGGCTCATACAACATCTGCACTTATTAGACTCACGTGGGCTGACTTTACAAGAACTTCAACCTGTCATTTACCCTCAGCCTCACAGTGCTACTAATCCTTTACAACAGTTGTAAGGTTCCCCTTTAAGATAGGTCCATCCCTCCATGAGGAATTAATAGGAAATATGGATAATTTGAACCCTAGGGAGTCTCTTTCACCAAACTGAGAAGACTTGTATCAGTCATTATAAAAGCCTTCTAACTTCATAAACGGTTTTATTTCAGCCCAATTACATTAACACTTAGCAGGGCTAAAACAAACACAGCCTGGAAGACACATTATGCTACTGTAAGCTTGCGCAAAAAGCAAGCTTTTAGGAACCCCAATGGGAAATTGGTATCCCCAGCAATTAGTGAGCAGTTTGGAGATGTAGAGTATCAAGAAGTCAAAACCAGGGTCTGAGAGCTGAATTAGCTGGATGGCCACCAGCCTCAGTAAGTGCTATCTTGCAGAGCAAGAAAAAGACTTAGTATCTCAGCATGGTCACACATACAATTTAATCTCTCTGGCATAGAGTAAAAATCGGATAATTTCAATGGACATTTGTGTTCACTAGAGATTTCTCAGATCTCTTTTTTCTAATACCCATGCCATTCACCTCCAGCTCACAATGTTCCTCCACAAGTGCACGCATGCAGGGGAAGCATGATGTTAATAACTGGAAAATCAATGTCTAGGAGGTTCACTATGAAAAATCCTTCTTTTGCATCCAGCAAGAGTATTCAGTGGAGTAACATGAGCATGCTTTCGTTTGGAGAACCCCAAGTTCTATGTTACTATAAATTTTCAGAAGGGCCACTTACAGTCACTGACCCCTAATTATACTGTAATTTTTAAAACACAAGGTTAGACTCCATTGATTATACAAGTAATAGTCCATTTATTATTTAAGTAACTTCCACAATAAGTATCTTCATTTACATATTTGCGTACACACACTGAGTTCTCTAACTCTTGAAACAAGCAGTAAGGTAAAGCAATAGATGCTGAGGGTACTCTTCCATTCCAGTTATGAAAGAAAAAAAGTTTCCTAATGCATAAATTATTTCTTAACTACTTTTTTTTTTTTTTTTTTCTGAAAGTAGAGCTATGCAGTTAGAAGTATAAACACTCATTTAACATTTTCCTAGTTTTCTGCTTGGCATCAGATGCCAGCTATACAGCAGTTACATTTTTATCCTTAACATAGGGGTAGACATTGGGTACATCTGTTTTAATAACACACTCTTCATTAAACAAGAGAAGTAGTCACTACATGAACGTAACCGTTACAGACATCCCTATTCCCCATCCTTTGCCCATTTCATTGATCAATATGGAAATTTTCTGAGAGCTGGGAATGCCAACAGTTTTTCTGTTTAAATGTTGCTGATCACAGTAACATCAGTCTAAAAGTTGTGATGCCTTGCAGGCATATTCAGGACTGTAACCTTTACAGCCCCCTTCCTTCAATTGACAGTCCCAGAGTTTTTATTCCCTCCTCTTCAGTGCTGCACCAGACGTTCTGCTGTGCTCACACAAGTGCTTCCTCTGTCACACAAAGGTCTAAAAGCAATTCCTCCTTCTGAGCAAATTCTATCCTGGCTCAGCTCCCTGATCTGTTCTGTGTGTGGTTTCACAAAGAGTTACACAAACATAACAGAAAGGTCCATAACAGAGACATGAAAAACAGGAGCAGCATAACCTAGCACAGCCACAGCACATCTGAGATATGGATGTGTAGCAATCCCCATAGTTCCCTGGGGTTTTTAATGTTTCTTGCCAGTCTAGAGTCCATTTTTAAAAAGAAGATCAATCTAATAATGTCTTCTAGGACAAGCAGCTATGACGCAATAGATGTAATAGCAAAACTTCTTTTGAATTAAGCTGTATTTTATATTCCACACTGTAACATTATTTTTTGCATGTCCTGTTGTAATAGGTCAAAGGGTAATGGTTTTAAACTAAAAGAGGGTTGACTTACATCAGCTGTAAGAAAGGCAGTTTTCACAGTGTGAGTGGTGAAACATTGAATAGGTTGTGCAAAGAGGTGGTGGATTCCCCATCCCTGGCTACATCCAAGGTCAGGTTGAATGGGCCTCTGAGAATATGATCTAGATGAAGATGTCCCTACTCACTGCAAGGGGAATGAAAATAGATGACCTTTCCAGATCTCTTCCAAACCATTCTATTGAATATTTTTTGCCTGCTACAATATTTCTGTTACTGGATCCAAGGTCCTGCTCCTGCTTCCCTACTCCATGCTAAGGGAAATGCTCTCAAAAAGCAGCGGAGCTGGTGAAAGTCACCTGTAGAGTTGTGGATAAAAGATGATGGTAGTTCACATTCCACCAAGACAAGTTATTAGCACAGTCCAGAGCTCAACTTTCTCCAACAAAAGCAAAGAACATAGGTGGTAGCACATGGACAAAATGGGAAAGCTCCTTTTTTAATCTTCTCCTGCCCAGAGAAAAAGTTTCCCAGAATTGCAAAGCATATCTAAGTCACTAGGCTTATAAGTCACCACAATTTCCTCTTTCTGATAATATCTGCATGGTAAAGCAATCTAAAAACTAATCTTAAATTTTAATGAATTCCTACATTTCCAAAAATCTGCTGAATTACTGCATCTGTTTCAGTAGTACCACTTGCAGTTTGGTGGCCAATATTTTTAGCAAAAATTACATCAGCTTTATCCCTGAGGGAAACAGATCTATAACAACAGAATAATGGGTACTTCTCTCTCTTATGAATTGCTACCACTTCAATTCAGTGGGAAAGGTGGCAGTAGGCTGGTTTTCAGATTGTGAATAAATATTTCTAAGCAAAGGACTACTCAGTTATTATAAGAAAATTTTATAGTTTGTTGCATGTCAACTACAACCTTGAAATTTACCTACGCAAATGCTTCTTCTGTAATTTTCTCCCTTGTTTTCAATCTCTATTTTAAGATTAAACTGGTAATATATACTGTCTCCAGAATATATACTTAGGGCTTTCTGTCTACAAAAGATTACATGTAATTTAAGGATGGCAATTCCAATGGTCATATTTAACCTTAACAATAGAGTTTCCATCTAAAACACTTGACAGGCAACTGAAAACCAGCCAAATTGAAAACAAAAGTCATCCACCAAAGTGGATGCTAATTTTGTTATAGTTAGGGAAGCTTCTCCTGCTTATGATTTCAAGGAACAATCCACTAGGAAGTGCAAATTGAGAACAGTCAATGCAATTTTGCCAGGCTTCCAAAGGAATACTTATTATTTATTTACACCACAATAGCTCGAGTGCCAAACTCAATCTCATATCTGTTCATTTAGCCCCCTGCTTCAATAAGAGAAAAGTTCACTTTTTAGATAAAGTTAATTTTCAACTTTGGGATTTTTTCCTTGAAGGAACATTTTCTCTATAAGAATAACATAGTAATCAAATAAATTTTATTTATAACTTAGTACTTAACATACTGGAATAAGTTCTGTAAACACACATCACCAAGAGTACTGTTTGTTGCTATTGACATGAGGAGTCCCATTGGAACCAAATCAGTCCCAAAATGAAATAATTTAGGGAAAAAAAACATACCTTTTAAATGGTGACACATGGAGTTCAAAGCATCACAAAGGGCTTCTGATTGCAAATTTGTGTATTTGTTGTAGTTCACCAGGTTGCTACGCATCAAACAATTTAAGCATTGCACATGTCATGTGATTGTCAGGCCTAGTTGGAGCTTCACCAGAATCAAGGCTATTGAAAGCAGGTGCAGAGATCCACACCATGGGATCCAGGTGTAGGACCAATGCACTTAACCCTCAGGGATGAGGGCAGATTGTACCAGTGCACTGGCTCTCTTTCCTATGTATATATGAACAGGGAAGTGCCTGAATTCCAGAACAGCAATACATGTGATGTTAGTATCTACAGTCTAGCAGATGCAACTGGTTTTTGATTTTAAGGTAATTTTTTTTTGTTATAAATACACAGAAATATTAAAAATCCAGTCTATCCTTATTTCAGGCAGTATTTTCAGAAGCATCTGAAATAACCCAAGTCCTTTCCTGGTACAGTCAAAAGCAGACAAATTTTCAGCTTTATAAAGCAATGCATTCTTTATTTGGCTCTTCTAAAATAGCCAAGATAACAAGCCTGAGAACTTCAGTTTAAAAATGTTACAGCTGAGCCAACTCAGCAGCAGTCTAATAGCAGCTGCAATCCACACAAAAGACAAATTCAAATTATCAGTCATAACCTCTGCAGACTTATTTGTACTTCTTTTAATGCTTCAGAACTCCTTGATGATTTAATGTCAAACAAAAAACAAATGCTACAATGTCAGTGACACGTTTCTCTAAAATCAAGCTCAACCTTTTAACATTAGTAACACTAAACAATTACACTGTTGATGTTACATGTTTGAAATCTAAGTGTAATGAGCCTTACTTTGCATTGCTTCATTCTGCAGCTGTATCCCCTGAACTGCTGCCAGAACTTGGTAAAGACAAGTCTTGCTTTGACGTTGAAAGTCTTTTGAAAGCTCAAGAGCAAATGAATGAAGGCTCTTCAGGTCTTGCTTAAGCCTCTTCTCAGCAAGAAGAAAAATATGTTATAAAGGCACAGAACCAGCAGTAAAGAAGAATCAATATAACAACCCAAATTATGGTGAGACATCACAGGCAGGAAGAACTCTCTACTTTGTGGAAGGAGGCCTTTGAGAGAATACCTTTCAGTATGTTTAGAGGAGGATCCTGCAAAACATTTAGCAATGTAATTTCCTAAAAGTTTCAGCAAGACTATATGGATCCTTGTCATTTTATCATACCTATTTTGACTATAACACATCTTCAGGTAAAACCAATTCTCTTTGTTATTTCATCAACAAAAATAAGTATGTGTGAGCACGTGTGGGCTCTGTCCACTTTTAAGTCATACCCAGAATTAGCAATGAAAAATTGTGATCCATATATCCCTTACTTTCATTTTTCACACTTTGATCAGAAGGTATTTGCTAGGATTCACTCAAGGCATTTCTTGTATAGGCTAGTTCTATGACTTCCTATGAGAACAGATGTATTTTGAAAAAAAACAGAAAGTGACCTTGTTCAGATAAGTATTTGTATTATGTATGTAATTCAGTGTAATATACATGACGAGACTTTTAGTTGTTTGTAAGATCAGCCTATATTCACTTATAAGTCCACCTAAATAAAAATAAATTTACCTGATTTTAGGATTAGTTTACAAGTCCTGACATCCAAGTCCTGAAATGGACATGTAAAACCATCTCTAAGGTGAATTTAGCAATACCTTATATTAAAGAAACACTGAGATTTCATTGTCAACCTGTGTTACATATTCTGTGACATTTTATTTTTCCAACTGTGGTACTGACCTGGAATTAATTAATTAGCTTCAATGATAAAAAGGCAATCTAAACTAAAGGGACAAAATCATTGCATTTGAAAGCCATACAATGTAAATGGGAAGGAGTATCTTTTTGTTATTATGGGAACAGGATGGCTGTTCATCTAGACTTTTATTTAGAGAGCTTTGCTCCCTCCTAGTATTCATTGACACCTGATGGCTTACTACCTCAGTCCACTGGTATTGCATCACAAGCAGTTCTGCCATTCCAGCTAATCAAAAATGTAAAATACTACTACAAAATTTACAAAGCAGAACTGCTATCATTAGAATAAAACAGTATAGTTCCATTGGAAGGGACCTACAACAATCATCTAGTACAACAATGCTCCAGTTAAGCTGCATCCTTCTGTCTGTTAAGAATCAGATTTTTTCCTGAGATAATTTTTGGCCATTTTATGCAGGCATTTGGTGACCTGAGAAAAGCTGATATTTGGTAGTGTCCATAAAAGGAACTCACTACTCTGTGGAGCAACTTCACAAATAAGTACTTCAACAAAGGCAAATATTATGGTATTGACACTAGGAGAACAGTTTCAATCTCTCTGATGCAAAATTAAAACTTCAATGAGCATACAGCAAACTACTCTTCTTGTGAGATCTGCCAGAGAACTCATAGTAATCAGTGGAGCTCTAAAATGCTTTTTTCAAAGGATTTGCCTATTTGGGTAAAGTATATCACAATTACTGTTTCTAGGGATGTCTGTATGACAGTCGGATTAAAGTTTAAATGTTAAAGTTTTGACTACAAAAATACCTGTCTCAGGTATTAATAGCACCCTATATGTAAGATCCTGGAGCTCAGGACCATCCACTTTTACCAGACTCTCAGGTGACCTTGCAGCTTATTACAGCAAAACTACTATGAAATCACTGTTAAACCTCACTGTAAGCTCTCTTGTGAATACAATAATGCCACAGATCAGATTCATATCACACAATTTTCTGGGGTTTGCTATATTTCATAAGCATGTAAATGTTTAGGGCATTGATTATGTCTACATTATTACGAAATGCCTTTACCTTTATTGCTACATGGAGCTGGGTTACAGCAGAACTCCTCTGAAATTTCATCTGTTGGCCATGAGCAGCATAGAGCTGCAATACTTCACTAGTACATCTTCCGGCCAACCCTTGATACTGTTAAAAAAAAAAAACCAACAAAAAATAATTTAAAACACTCATGTTTCCTATGGCATTCTGTCCCCTTTTTCTCTTTAAATATTGGTAATTCAATTATATGATAACACAGGATATTGCCAATACTTAATTTCTTTGCTTTTACCTTTTTCTGAGTTATGTGAAAAATCACCTCATAGCAACAGGCTAACATCACAAATTTCTACTTTCTTGGGTCATACACCTGAGCACCAGATTACTAAACTGCTTCTGCAGTACCTGAATCCTCTTACTTATGCTTGAGGTGGATCTGAAAGGTTAAAACTGTGCCTTAACTTAGGGAAAAGGGCTGGTTACACAGCTGGATTAAGTGTCTCAGGAGATCAGATTTAATGCAGAAAGCACTGTGGAAGGACATGAAACAGAACAAAGACAAACGTGTTAACTGCTGAAGTCCTGAAGTAGTGGCTAATACACAGCCCCCAACTTTCTGCACCTGACAACACCAACTCCACTACAATCTGTAGAGTTGAAACAGTGCCATGCTGGGCCATCAAAGCCCTGCTCTGGGTCTTCAGAGATCACAGCAACCAAAGCAGTTTTTAAAGTTTGTGGAGAAGAATGCTTTCTCACAGTCTAAAATTACCTATTATGCAAAAGCAAATTTTATGGCCAACTTGAGAATTTTTTGAGATGTTGAAATCAAAAGGAAAATAGAAATAAGCAACTTTAAATATTTACAGGCATGAATGCAAGAAGAGTGATCTCGGTAGAGACTTCTTGTGAAATTCTGCACTATGGAAGAATCTGCATAACACTAAAAAATGCATTTTTGTAATTCTCTGACAGTCCCTGGCGCTTAAAATGAGCTGCAACTTCAGCTATTTCCCCTGCCACCTGTTCACATCTATCATTCACTAACCAGTATCAATTGCCTCTATTTTTGAAAGGCACTTGTCTCTTGCACAGACTTATTTCCTACTTTATTCACACCATATATTCTGTGACTGTAATTCCCTGTTATTTAAATTAGCAAAGCATAGAAGAGACAAAAGACATGAAAGAGCTAAACCTACTCACACAATGGATTTGATTCAATTCCAAACATCTGATAACAACAGATAAAAATCAAACATTTAATTGCAGTTTAACTACAGGTGAAATGGACAAAAACAGTACAGCATCCTGGAGCTGTTAGGATAAAGACAGATTGTATTTTCAAAAAAAAAAAAAAGTACTTCACTTATCAAAATCAATATTTTCATGTGGCTTTTTCACCTTCAAAAGCATGACTATTCTATTTACACATGCAGGTGGGAGCTCTGTACAACAATACACCACCTTATCACTATTAGAAAAAGTTCTTACAAGAAATAGCAGGAAGAGGTTGGATTTTTTTTGTTACAGGCTTTAAGGTCCCAGATATTGAGATTGATTTTATACAGTGTTTAGATGCTCTGAAAAGATAAGGATTTTCAAGATTCACGTTACTCAGATGCAATATTTACAAACAGCTTCACAGAAATTCACACTAGTACTGCACCAAAATCAGTGTCTCATGAAAAATAAAGCATATGTATATAAACAATTGCAGTACTCAAGCCTTGTTATTAAGTAAGCTTAGGGTAGTTAAAACCTCCTTTTAGCACCTAATCTGCACCATCTGCACAGATTCCCCTTGACACTCCATATTTCTCAACACTAAGATAAAAGCAAAAATTTCAATGCTACTGTCATTGCACCACTTTGTCTGTCAAGTTCATCTTTGTTGCAAAGGTTGCCTTGATTTTGGGATTTTCTCCACTAAATAGTGGAGAAAATCCCAAATAGTTTTAACTATTATGTTAAATAGTTTTAACATTCACCAGAGTTGTTCATAGGCCAGCACTTGCAAACCTGTGCTTGAGCATAGAAGCAAAAAATGGACTAAAACCTTTTTACAGTCAGCTTTACTATAAGCAGAAGTGAAACAACTACTCAATAGTGTTCTCCTAAGTGAAGTCTCAGTTTTGCAATCAGATCCATTCTGGCAGACTTGGCTCTATGTAAAGAGGGCTGCAGGGTTAGGACCTCAAAGACTGCTAATAAAAGCAAGGGCTATATAGGTAAACAGACTTCCAAACAGGAAAAAGTAGGGCAAAATGAGGTCTGCCTAGAAATCTGACAACCCCTCCAGTATGCTGCTGGGATAACAACATACCAGGCTGAAGAATACAGGAGAAGTGCTGAAATTCATCACTGTCTCAAGGATGTAAGGGAAGGTCTATAGCAGGAGATAAAATTTTAATAAGTGATGCAACCTATAGACAAGCATTTACACTGCAAATCCTAATTTATGGCAATCCTCATAAGTTTGTTTCCAAAGCTTCCCAGCTCACTCCAGACAAAATGAATCCAATTAGCTTTTACAAGTTAAGAACGAGACCTCTGTTAACCCTTGTCTCTGTGACTGAACTTGTTACAGCTCAATCACTCAGGCAGCTCCACTGGCAGATCTGAAGGATCAGGGATAGACAGTCAAGGGCAGTAGCTTTTCTGACCAGCATAGCTGGTAGAATATTATGACATATGGTGGAATATTGCACAACCTTAAATAGTACTCATTTTAATTAGTATTGTTTTTAATAGAGGGTCTTCAATTAAGGTAAAACTATTTCATAGATGTCAGTTCAGCTTGTACTTTCAGATTGCTGGGGCAAATTAACCAAGAAGAGGCACATTTTTAAAGTGTATTTAAATAACTGCCTGAATCAGTGCAAGAACAATTAGTGCAAGGTTAATTGCAAAGGATTTCATTTGACATTGTTTCTGACTGATGGTGACAACACTGCCCACACTCCTCATGTGTCTGTAGGTGCCCATTTCTTCCAGCACATTTTTCAATAAAATGAAGCAGTGCTCTATTTTAAAAACAAGGCTTCATTTTCTGATACACAGACAACTCCTTCCTACATCTGATATACCTTACCGACTAGAATAATTTATTTCTTGTGCTTGTGAGGATAAAAAATAATCAGCTGAAATACTTACGGCTTTCAATGAACATTGTAAAGAAGAACAAAGACAATAAAAATATTTCTTCAGAATAAATTAGTGTTCTTCTGTACATCTAGCAAAACTCATTTCAGATATACCACCTGTTTCCAGTTAGACTTTGAAAAATGTTAAACCCACTTTTATCCACGGGTGTTAGCAGCCCCACAGGGAGGGCAAATGGCTTCCCTAAGGTCACCCAACCAGTTAATGTTTCAACCTAGATTAGCAACTCTTGGCCAACAGTTTGTTTCACCACTAATACTCACAGCTGGCTCTGCTCTAGCAGCCTACATCTATATTCAAAATTCTTTCAATTTCTAAAATCCCCCCACTTTGAAGGCCCCAAACATTATCACAGGCTGCTCCTTATTTCAGTGAGGCTCTAAGAATAACCTATGCTTCTGTAGAAGGATATAAGGCAATGAGGGCATCCAGTTATTGCTTTTGCTGTGTGACAAGGCACATGTGCAACAATACCAGTACTGAAAACACACAGCAAGGCATCCCTGGTAAGTCTACTCCTAATGAAATGTCTCTCCTGCACTCTGTGAAAAGTTCTTTTCAAAGCATCATTCCAACTGCGTCTAAAAAGTATTCCTGAAAAATCTGCCATTGTCTTTTAGACAAACATGTTCCCTGTAAGAAGAAAGAAATATTCCACATTTAATGCTTCCAGAGTCATTCCCTTAGCTCAGCTTTCTAGATTTAAAACAATAGCCAACATTTACATTCAAGCTGACTTCTAGCTACTTAATCTGCCTGTCATTACGCTACTACTCATGATTTGGAAAAGAAAGAGATGCTGAGCCTTAACCCTTCATAGATTTTCCCAGCTGGTAAAGAGGGCAAAACCTGAAAAGAGGTAGGTAGATTTCAGTGTCTTTTTCTCTATTTCCACAAGAATTCTTTCTCGACAAAAATAAACAACAGTCACCTCTGCAAGTTTTAGATGAAGGACAGCATTTTCAGTTTCCAGGACAACTATTCTTTCTTCTTTGGTCTAAGGAAGAAAACCCATCCAAATATACAAAAATGAAAATGAAAAAGAATATGAGTCTGATTAATACAGTTTCACTGTGATATTGCTAAATGCTCATTAGCCGTCATTACCATATTCCACCGTTTCTCAAACTTATGAGATCAATGGACTACCCACCCCCATCTCCTAATCACAACAATACTTGTATATGAGCATGCAAAAATTAGGATAAACGCTTAATATTCCTTTATTTCTATCTTTTGTGTTATGTTGCTTGCTTGTGTGGGAACTCATAGGTACGCAACTTAAAGCGCTTTGGCTTTGCGAAACCACCTCCTCCCGGCATTTTCCAGAACGTAGTCCTTAGAAAAGCACTTATTTATTTATTTATGCATAAGCACGTGCAGCAGCATTATGAGAGGGCTTCAGCGGCGTCGCGGCCAGACGCTCCCTCAGCACAGGGCCGCTCCCGGGAGCGGGGCCGGAGGGAAGGAGAGCTGCTCGCTGCTCTGGCACTCTACTTGTACCCCCGCCACAGCTGGAGCAGGCTCCTCCGACTCGCGGGGGCCTGGCACGCCGCCCCACACGGCCGCACTGCAGATGCCCGCCCAGCAAGGAGCCGGGCCCGGCAGCGCCCGCCCGCCCGCCGGCCCCGCCGCACGCGCCCGCCCCGGCCCCGCCCCGCGCCCCCTCACGCGCAGCCGCTGCTCCAGCTGCCGCACGCGCTGCGCCCACACGGAGCTCGAGTCCAGCCCGCGGCGCGGCCGCATCGTCCTGCCCGGTCCCGCGCCGAGGCGGAGCGAGAACTCCCCCGGCCCCGGCTCCAGCTCCAGCTCCGGCGGGGATTTAACGCGGGACGCGTCTGGGGCGGGAGCGCGGCTGCCATAGCGACGGGCCCGCCCCTTCCCCGCCCAGCGCTCTGCTGAGCGAGCGGCACCGTCTGCCAGCCGCGCCCCGGCCCTGAGTGGCAGGGCAGCCAACCAATCCGCGAGCAGGGCGCGAACGGGGCGGGGCCAGACGGGCGCTTGTGACCGAGCGCGCCCCGCAGGGAGGCTGAGCAGGGAACGGGCCGGGATCCTCCGCCTACAGCTCCCGCGGACAAGTGACCTCAGACCTCTGTACCCATTATCCATGGGGCTGGGGAGCCTCCGCCTGCAGCATCCTGATCTCAGAGACCGTGGCCAAGGATTAGGGCACTAGGGCAGGGAGTGCAGGAACAGAAGGAAAGCCTGGAGCTCCCAAGGCCGGTGTAAGGCTACCCCACTCCTGGGCTCAGGGGCACAAACCTCGCATCAGTGCAAAGGGAGAGGAGGAGAAGGACAGAATTGAGAGAGCTCTGATGTCGGCTACACGACTTCCCCCCTAAGCAGTTGGTGATGTGTTCTTTGTGCTAAGGCTGTAAGGGCCACAAAGAAGATTAAGGGATAGGAACATCTGTTACACGGAGTGTCCTGGGGGAAGTGCAGCCTGGAGGAAAGGAAGGCTGAGTAGGATCCAGACAGTATGTGCAAATACCTTATGGGAGTATGAACACCACAGACTGCGCTCTGGCGCCCAGGGGCCAGGACAAGAGGCAGGAGTCTAAGGATAGTGTGAGGATAGTCGAAGACTGGCACAGGCTGCCCAAAGAGATGGAGGAGTCTCCATCCTTGGAGCTACTCAAACCCTGATTAGACCCAGCCCCGGGCAAGCAGCTGTAGCTGACCTTGCTTTGACGCTGAGATGGATGATGCAGCACAGAGTCTGTCCAGTAACTGTGAACACGGCTGCCATTAGGGCTGGTCGTAGGACAAGCACAAAGCTTGTGGGTTCAGGCCGTGTGGGATTCCTGAGAAGCCACCCAGAGCAGAAGCTATTCATCCGGGTCACGGCGGGGGGTCTCACAGTGAGGTTTCCAAGGTGAAAATGTGACATGCATTACCAATATTACTTGGTACTCTACTGTATTGCACTGAAAGATTTACATGGTCTTGAAAGCAGTCATTATACTATTTGGCTATAAAATACATAAGTATACCAGATACAGACATGTCAGCTTCTTGGAAGTGGGAAATAGCACTATTTTTGCACTACAGTTATTTGGGTTTCTTTTTTTAAAAACCAATCCAGCATGATAATTACAGAGGAATCCAGTTCTGCAAAATAGCAGTCTCAAGTTACTCTCTACTCAACATGGTAAATGTGCTTCTTTATGGACAGTAGAAAATCCAAAGACACAGAGCAGTGAATCCATCCATGTTTGGCACAAAAGAGATAGTGCTCCTTTACTAAGGAACCCAGATACTGTCCATCTTTCACAGACCAAACCAAACACTGTGCAGCTCTATCCACAGTCTTCTGGGATCCTGCATCTTCAACAAGTTGCTACAATCTATAGCCTCTGTTTAAAAAATAAATAAAAAAAAAAATAGACCCATCTGGCTGGTTGCAGTTAGGTTTGGCACACAAAAGTGTAACTCAGCAGTTCCTCCTTGCAACTAGTTCTACTTTGATGGAAAAATGAGAACTGACAAATGGATACAGGCTGAAAAACACTCCAAAAGTGCTGCAATGGTGTGGATGTTACAAGATGTTGGCATTAAGGCAGACAGGATTTTAATCAACATCAGCTATTTTGGGGAGGATGATTTAGTTGCTTGCAGGGTGTGACTCACAATTCTTGACAATGAGCTATGATTTTATATGTAATGCTTATCCTGCAGCAGCAATCAAGTCAGAACAATGTTATTTTCCAGAGAAACTCAGCTTCATCCCAGAAGGCTCACCTCTGAAGTGTAATAGTTAATCTCTCCCTTACTGTGGATTGTACCCACTATTAAAGAGATTAAGGATCTTGTTTCTGTAGGCTTAAAGAGACAAGATTTAACTTACTAGCACCCTTTGAAGTAGTAACCTACAACTGAGCATCCACTATTCCTGATATTTCTGTATGCAACTCTGAAGGTCAAATACTACTGAAAATTGTCCCATCAGTAGAAAAACAAATCTCAGTATGATGTGTGACTCTTCATAACAGCAGCAAATCTTATGGATTTTATTTCCAAAACTTAGGAGAAGTTGCTTGATGAATGAAATAGCCTGTTGGTGAGACCTGGGAAAGAATTATAAAATCCAACTCTCTTTTATAAATGAGACTGCCAGACTGGTGGACTCGCAGGCAGCACACCCTTCTGCACTGACTCTCTGCTTTGAAGAATCTTTTTTCCCCCAACTTTCATCAATTTGATCCCATATTCCCCCTGCAAATGCAAGGCCCTGCCATATTATAGATCCTTCTGTGGAACTTCAGGGCCAGAAATTTCATAGAACTGTCTAAATCCCCATTTAACTCTATTACTTTTAGCATCAGTGAAATACCACACGTGGATTATAAAATCTGTCACTGGATTATAAATCTTTGGATACTATTAAGTAAGCACTGTCTTGAATCCTTCTGAAGCATTTCACTTTAACCCCAGTGGTGGAACCAACAAGACCTAAGAGGTCCCAGCTCCATAAACTTCTGATGAGTTGTCCATTTCAACATTCCTAATGGGCAGAAAAGCATTTAGGGAAAAAGCCCAGGAGAGAAGGCTATTATCCCTCTTCTGCCAAACACAGAGAGTTTCTGCTGTATGTCCCCACATTTTCTACTGCCCCTATGAGGTGACATTCTCCACACTCAGCAGATGGTAACTTGAGACTGCTGTACTGCACATAGCCCATAAATGTTATTTGGTGAACCTGTAAATATGTCACTGCACATTTTTGGTAACTGTAGTTGAGTTCTGAGCACCTGTCAGTAACAATAAACTGCAATTCTCTGGGCAGGTGTATTGCACTGTGGTCTCATTAAGTTCACCTGCCATTACAGCTGATTAAAGAAGTCAGCCAACTCCAAATTTTTAACCTGTGAAGCTTTGCCTTCTGGAACACACAACCGGTAACTGACTTGAGACAGCAGTATCATTTGACAAAACAGGAGGAAGAGCCAAGTCTTATCATCACATACACGAGTCACTGCATGTGTTTTAAGACTGCTACTACTGAAGCTCATTTTTTAACAGAACTATGTTTTGTGTTGTCTAATTGAATTAGGAGGTAAAGAACAGTCTTGTTTATTCTGCTACTTGTGTACTTATTGCTTGACATACAAATAGCAATCTGTACGATCAAGTATATTGCTAATTATTTCAGGGAATGGGATGCATTCTATGGACTCGGTCAACATCTCCATTTCCCTGCCTTTCCCTCAAACCCCAGCACGATTGTAGTACAGACTACCTAAAGGAGTTGAAAAACAGTATATATATGGATGATAGGTGCAGAAGGGAGAATGTAACACAGATTTAAAATTATTTGTTTTGTAGAGAGCTGACTGCATAGGCAAATATAACTTCCCACAGTTATCACTGTAAGGGCCCTCGTCAGTAAAAGCACCAAGAGCTGTGCTGCCAAGGCTGACAGCTCATGTCCCTGAAGCAAGGCAGGTGCTGCACTGCCCAACAGCATCATACTAGTGTGCTCACTGAGCAAGCTCAACATGAAGGCATAGCCCAAAACTTTTTCCCCACTGAAAATATGTTACCTCTGCTGCACATCACACACAGTTCCTTTCATAATCCCTGGAATAGCTTGGTCTAGAAATAGAAGTTTCTATGACAAAGTTCGCAGCTGCAACAACTACAGACTCAAATACACCACTTTTTGCTTAGACTGAGGACTCATATATAGAAGAGCAAAAAAAAAAAAGTTGAGTTCTTTTGAGGTTCTAGGAGGCTCTCAAACCCCATCTTCAGCAGATGCACAGCTACAGCAGAAGGCATCTACAGCACTTCACTGGGGCCGCGCTCCCTCCCCAAGCAGAGTTTGAACTGCTGACTCCCATTAACCACAGCAATCCCAGTGGAGACTCTGCATACACTATTTACTTTTCCAAAAGATGCCACATTCTAGGTTCTTCTTTGCTGTTACCAAAACAACTTTGCATTTAAGGAAGATACAAATACAGTGTGACTAGTCTGAATAATTGACACCAGTGGTATTTACTACTTCATAAACTGCTGGTTAAGCTGTAAAAATCACTTCAATCAAGTCAGCACTATAGGTATTAAACAGGCTAAGAAAGTCTCCTCTCTGATAACTGGAGGCCAGCCTCTGTTGATTCTCCATGTAAAATTAATTTGAAGTTTTCATAGGAGATACACTGACTCATAAATACATTTTAAGAGGACAGGCAAGGCAAAATATATTAAGAGCCCCTCTCGTTTATGATAATGTTGTTAGGAATGCAGAATTAAATAAGAATACAAAAAACATTGAATGCAAAGTTAAATGCAATACAAACTTTATTAAAAATAGGTTGCAAGTGAAATACAGTAGAAATGAGAAACTACAGCAGTTTTGATGTCTTTTTTTTTTTTCAAATAATGCACAGACAAATATGAAAAGCACTTTTACACATATTCACACTTGACCCGAATGCCCAATAGCGGCCAAATCCACTCAACTGAAGGTTAAAGGTATTTTTTTTGCTAAGCCTTTTTCAGAGTCTAGCAGCAACAGTAATTCAGCCACAGCATAAGTTTTTTCCTCAAGAAAAATTTGTCACTGTAAGGCTGCTAGTGTTCTCAAGATAAATTGGGAGAGGCTTGCTTTTGCTGATGAACAGACATAGCAAGCA